GGCCAATGCCATTTCTGTCATAATGAACGTTCCTACAAGTCCTGCAGCAAATTCTCCCAAAGCAGCGTATACGTACACATACGCGTTCCCAATACCTCTGTATCTACCTCCCAAATCCATGTAAGCTAGGACAGTAAATATTAGAACTGCTGCAGCTAAGAGATAAGAGACTACCAATCCTGGACCAGCAACCATCCTTATAACTCCTGGTGTCAAAATGAATATTCCCGCGCCCACAATATGAGCCAATCCCTGCACTGTCAAATCGAAAATGTTCAGACATTTCTTTAAGTCCTGAGTTTGGAGTTCGGGGGAAGATTTCTGGAATAGCCTCTCGAAGAAAGAAGGAGGCTTGCAGTTGTAGTTGCCAAAGCAAGATGCCATTATACTCCTATAAATGCTTCAGTAGTCATATTTCCAACACGTAGTGCTAGCAGAGAAAGTGAAAAATGATTATTCGAACGTATCTATTTTACATACCAATATTGTATAGATTGAGTATACACGACGAAGTAATTTTGTGTTATTTAATGAGAGAAACAGGACATTCTTCCATGTTGAGTAATATAATCTGGCCATTGGAGCCCACAAAACGTTCGGTTTTCACAAAAATTTGTCAGACGACATATCAATATTTTTATTAGGAGTGCAGTGAGAGATTATTACTATCATTTAAAAAATATTTTTCAAATTAATTGCCTTATTTGATTATAAATATTAAAAAAAACAACATTTGAATCTGCCAAAAATGATTGAAATCGATTGAGAGTTGAGACACGTGGAAAAACTGTTTTTTCTCAAAAAGGATGTAATTTCAATCTGCTTGAAAGGCAACAAATAGAAAAGCTATTTTTAATCGGATTTGTCTGTACTATACTATACTATCACTAAAACAGACACTGGGGAATCACATTTATACACTAGCCATATAGAAGACCGTGTAACATTACTGTACCTAAATTCAAGTAGTCAAGTCTAATCTGGAGAACAATTATTTAACAAGGGCAAAAAGAAACAATAGCGGTCCACAGAATGTCGAATGATCAAACCAAACTAAGGGGACATGAACAAAGCTAATTACAATTTGAACAAAGCTGGTTAAATTTTGAACAAAGCTGGGGGGAGGGGGGGGGGGGGGGGGGTGGTGTACTTAACTTTTTTGCAATATTTTACACCTTTTTACACTTTTTTACACTTAACAAAATCTTCTTTTTTCCTATTATTTACGTCCACAAGAATAAATCCATCCACAGAGGATAAGAAAGGTCCCCCTAGTAAGAAGAAGAGGGAATTTATAAGTTTTAAAAAGCCTGCTTTACTCTATAATTGTCAAAAAAATTAAACTTTTTGTGCTCCCCTCTCCAAACTCATTTTCCTCAAAAAGGATGTTAAATAGCAAGTTGCTTGATAGGCAAGACATAAAAAAGCAGATTTGTCTGTACTATGTATTATATGCTAAGACAGACAATGGGGTTAGATAAAAACAGACACGTTATTTATAGAATTGGCTATCACCACATGGACAAGCTTTATAAATAAAAGAAGAATCAAATCAATACATCAACATGTAACAACTAACAACATGGAAATAAAGTACAAAGTATAAAGTATTATTAGTGACCGGTTCAGTAACAATAGGATAAGAATAGGATGGAGACTTTCTCGGATACGACAGAGGTAGACATATGTTGGCACATGTTACAATACACACTACATGTGCACGGGGGGGGGGGGGGGGGGGTAGACATATGATGGCACATGTTACAATACACACTACATGTGCACGGGGGGGGGGGGGGGGTAGACATATGATGGCACATGTTACAATACACACTACATGTGCACGGGGGGGGGGGGGGGGGGTAGACATATGATGGCACATGTTACAATACACACTACATGTGCACGGGGGGGGGGGGGGGGGGGGGGAGGGGGGGTTGTTTCCCGTTTGAGAAAACTGGGTAGTGTCGGGACAAAAAAGACAAAAAAGGACAAAAATTGGGAAATGCTAGTGAAATACCATGTGCAAATAACCACACCCAGAAATAAGATCTTAGCACAACTTTTCGTATCATTTATATGTTTTAAGAACCCCCCTCCAGAGATAAAATGTTTAGATGAAACTGATAGGAATTTAAAAGTTTATCAATTTCAAATAGAAGAACTCTTGAACCTCACTTTACCTCAACAAATGTATTAATGTAAGTTTTAGCGTTGTTTGTTCTATCAGACACTGTATAATTCAGACAGTTCACAATATTATCGCAATTTAACGAATATAGAGAGCTCAGTCACATTTCTTTGTTTTTTGTGTTCTTTGTTTCCATTGTGTTTATAGATGTGATGCCTAGTAAACTATTTGCTATTCCACATATCGGTTGTTAACGTTTATCTATTGTTGAAACTGTTGAAACTGTTGAAATTGTTGAAATTGTTGAAATTGTTGAATGTGAATCTTGGTACGTAGAGAAACGCTTCCGGTACAGTAAATGTCGCTAATAGAGACTCTCTATATCAAAACAATGCCGAAACAAAAATGTCGATTATAACGTTAAAACGCTGCACACATAGTTTTGATTGTCAAGCTATTTTGATTTAGCAATTGAGCTTGTCTAATCCCGAAGTAGAAGTCTCCTTTCAATTTGATTCTAATGAAGTACAACCACATATTACTGCATTATACGTCTATTATAGTTGTACTTATTGTTTCAGTCTGTGTATATCAGGAGGGGATTGCAACAAAACAGCGCCAGATTAAACTTCCGTCAATTACTATGTTAACCATTTAATCTATAAACATTTAATCTCAGATCTATATTCTATATCACACTTAACATAAAATATGGTTCTTTCGAAAGCTTATTGAAACTATATAATGAACACAAACAAGATACTGAAACACAAAAAAGATACTGTATCAAACTAGATATTGAAACATTTGTTACCATATCAAATGATGGAGTTATAGTTCGCTGTTTATTAGTCTCATGATTGAGTAGCATGAAACATGAACAAAAGGAGTTTCAGGAAAAAACTTTAAGAATCGTATATCGAGAGGTAGGTACTTATACTACTAGGTACAGACTTCAGAAAACCGAAAAAAAAGGTTAGGAATAGGATCATAATGATCAGGGTAGCATGAACCGTGGAAAAATTGGTTTCCAGGAATCCACTTTCACAAGCATTTCTTAACCCACTCCTCTGCTGACGTAACTTTGTCGGCCAAAAACTTCCCAACTTCCCTAAAACTTAGATATAAAAACTTAGACCACTAGACATAAAGTTAACCACTAGACACCCCAATCAATGTCTGGAAAACCGAACACTGCAAACAGTCAGAAGACGATACACAGAGGCCCTCTTATGAACAAAGGCAAAGATGAGGATATAACATAATACGTATGTACATGTGATGTCAAATGTGATATGCATAAGGTTAGTTATCAGTTAATCTGTTATTAACGTGATTTGGAACAATGAGAACATTGACCAATTGTTAAGACAATTAATCTATATTATAACTTTATAATATACCTTCGCGAACACAATATGAACAAAAGCTCATGAGGGTAAAGGAAATGTATCACAGAATTTCTGCAGAAATTCTGTGATACATTTTTGGGAAACTCTGTGCGAAACATTGACCTTGAACGTTGTTTATTGCGTAATAATACATTTATTTATAACTATAATACCTGAAATAACTATAATATTCAATTATCACTAAGCAGCTGATTAATACGCCTTCGGATGATGATACAAAGTAAAAACTCACTGGCTCGTACGACTAACCTCATACAGCTAGTATGCAAATATAGTGCCTGGCACAGAGTGACTTAAGGTTACTGAAAACGAGATCAAAGTTTACTTAAGCAGATTTGAAAGTTGCACAATGTTTTGGTACTTGTCAGCACTCAGCGATACAATCAATCAGGCTAATTAATTTCCTTAATCGCTTACTTGAAATTAAAAAGGAAGTGCCAGAACAAACTACAGTCACCCTCACAAAAAGTAGTAAACACTAAACGATGTTTGATCAATTCGAAGGAAGAAAACGCACAAAACAAGAATCTTGGTGTCAAGTAGTTATATTTGAAAGAAAATTATTGTCGAGAGTTGATAAAGGGCTGGTCAGCAAATCAGTCCCTCTCTTGTTTTGTACTAAAGATCACCTATAATAATTCATATCGACTGTTAATATTATGTCATTGAACCCAGCAGTCTGCAATAACCTGGTACCAACTTTTTGAATTGACAAAGCTATGAAGAATTGAATAAAAAGGTTCGCAAATTTCGTAAAACAACCGAAAGTGCGGATAGCGATGAATGCTGCGATTAGTAAAGAGGATTCTGCATCCACCGCACTTAAGTCTTTTTAGAACCATCGTTGCACCTCTTTCAGCCTTACGTCCAAGGCATCTAATATATAAACAAAGGCTTGAAACTTATTACTTTACTAAACACTACTATAATGTGGTAATCGATCGGCGTAACGCGACATATTTTTGTTAAATTGGTGAGATGTTTTGGTTCCCGAGTTAGCGTAGAGTTAAGGTAGCCCTATGAAGAGGTTTTAATCTTTATCTTTGGTGTAGGGCAGTGTGTAGAGCAAGATAATGGTAGCCAGACTCAAGACACCTAAATATATGAGTCCTCATATGACGCATAATTAATAATTATCATATTTAAATTTATGTGCTTAATTGATAAATTTACATAATAATTGTACTTGTTAATCTGTGCGTACGGCACCCTTGTACGAGACCCTTGTGTGTTGATCATCAACGTGTCTGTCATGTAAGAGATTTTCCAGGAAAACTGTTCAAATTCCACCATTGGAATGTATTAAGTTTGTTCTTCGAGGTAATTAGAGGAACATTGAACATTTGTTTTTTCTATTATGTTTACGTCCGAAGGTTCACTGCTTAATCTCTTAACTTTGATTTAAGCTGAAATATGACTATCAGAAACTGATATATAGTAATAAATATCCCAGGAGTTTTATGGCAGGTTGTTGTTGTGAAAACTACATGGAATCTTGTGTTGAAAACTACAATTGTAAACCTCCTTTTTTGTTAGAGAGGTTAGTCCAGAAGTCTTCCCCCGAACTCCAAACTCAGGACTTAAAGAAATGTCTGAACATTTTCGATTTGACAGTGCAGGGATTGGCTCATATTGTGGGTGCAGGAATATTCATTTTGACACCAGGAGTTATAAGGATGGTTGCTGGTCCAGGATTGGTAGTCTCTTATCTCTTAGCTGCAGCAGTTCTAATATTTACTGTTCTAGCTTACATGGATTTGGGAGCTAGATACAGAGGTATTGGGAACGCGTATGTGTACGTGTACTCTGCTTTGGGAGAATTTGCTGCAGGACTCGTAGGAACGTTCATTATGACAGAAATGGCATTGGCCGTAGCCGTGGTGGCCGTGGGATTTGGACAGAATATCGACAAGTTTATCTTGGGGGGTAACGCCCATAAAATTCAAGTAGAGTATGCTAGTACTTTTCTTCCGGATTACTTAACCGAAAATGTCAACTTGTTGACTATTGGTTTAATCTTATTTTGTTGTATCGTCAACTGTATCGGAGTCAAACAGGTCGCTATCGTGAATACCCTCACAGTGGTATTTAGTTTCATCTCTCTGGCCATGTACTGCATCATTTCATTTATGTACGGCAGTAGCAAGACATTCACCAACTCCACTGACCCTGAAACAGGAAGAGGAGGGGTGTTTCCTTATGGATTTTCAGGAGTTGTAACTGGAGCGGCTGTTGTGATTATGTCCTTCGCAGGTTTCGAATCGGTGGTCAGCCTTTCAGCGGAAGCCAAGAATTCTAAAAGAGACGTCCCTCTTGCAACAGGTTTAAGCTTCGGAATTTCTGTTCTAGTTTATCTATTAGTAAGTGCTGCTATCTCCTACCTGGTACCTTGGTATACCCTTAACGAAAGTACGGGGATTCCTGGTTCCTTACAGGCACATGGGCTCACAATCCCTAAGTACATTATCGCAGCAGCGATCCTTTTTGCTTCTGGAAGTGTAGCTTTGTGCTCTCTTACCACACTGGCTCGAGGGCTCATGGTGCTATCTGAGGATGGATTGATTTTCAGTTGTATTGGTTTGGTGGCCGAGTCCTCAAAAGTACCTATTATTGCAACAGTCTTCGCTACAATTGTGATAATTTTCTTTACGATAGTGTTCTCCTACGAGATTCTGATTCATCTGGTCGCAGGAGGAGCATTGGTTACTTTTGTAGCAGTCTGCTTCACTCTCATAATTATTTCTTACTCTAAACAAAAAGAAGTTGTTGATGAATCCTCGGGACTTATTCAAAACGAAGTTATGATGAATGAAGATCAGCTTTTTACATCTTGGGATCAGCAGGACAGTGAGGATTCTGGGTACATTGAAAATCAAGAGTGGAAAGTGATCAGTTGGGTGAGTATTTTCACAGTTAGTTCGACAATTTGCATCGCGTTTATTTACTGGCCAAGCTCATGGCCCTTCTGGAAATTTCGTTTCCCAATAATGATATTACTTGGGTTGATAAACACTCTAATACTGATCCACATTAAGATGACCTACCACATCCAGCCTCAGAAGAATCCTGGTTTTGTGTGTCCTGGAATACCGTTTATTCCAGCAATTGGTATATTTCTCAATCTGGCTTTGTTCAGTTCCCTTAATGTAATGGCACATCTGATGACTGTTGCTTACTTTGCTGTTGGGGTCTTGATGTATTTTGGGTATGGGTATTTTCACTCTACTATAACATTGAAGAAACAAAAAGAACAGGAACTGATTCCCAGTGATGAGACTGAGGAGTGAATAAGATCATTTGATTCTGTTAAACCCATTTTCTGTACTTGAGAGATACTTCCTATTCTGTAAAGATAAAATGATGAAGTAGGTTTCTGTAGTTAATTTCTTTGTAGCTTCTCTATAGTTTATAATTTCTCTGATAATTTCCTCGAGCAGTTAAGTTGCGTATATTTTAACTACGTACGTTATTTTTGCGTCTATTTTAACTGCGTACGTCGCGTATATTTTAACTACGTACGTTACTACGGCAGTAAATTCCAAAATATGGGTCAATGCTATTGATTGAGTTTTTGATATTATTGAACTGTAGCTCAGAAATTATTTCTATTCTGAAAAAAGAAGGTTGACAATTATTTGTCTGTCATGAATCGTATTTCTGAAAATTTAGTTGTGTTAATTTTAAATTGTATTTGTTAACTTTTAACTTTTATTTGTTAAGTAATAAATTCAAAGTCCTTTTTACAAAATTTGTCAATAATTTGAAAAATTGTTTGAATGTTTCTCATCTCGAAATGGTTATAATCTCTCGCCACAGCTCATTGTTTCATTTAGCAAAATATAAATTTTTATGGGAATTTTTAAAAAGTTCTAAGTATTCCCTTCTAAGTTACTTGTCAATGTAATAATCTTAAATCTCTCAAATCTCTAACAGCACAATAAGACCTATTGCTATTTTCTGGCGCTTTTTCAAAGCTACCGTTACATTAAATTATCTGATACCTGATTTTAATTAGTCAGTAGTTAAAATTACAACCGGTAAACACATTGCCACCACTAGCAGGAACCCGTCTGACCCATAAGTGGTGTCAAGACTCAAGAGACTAAAATAATTGTTACATATTTTATATTTAATTCGCGTTTTCGACACCACTTGGGTGTCCAAATTGTGGGCACCAAAATTCTTATTCCATGGCCAATGTTTTATTTATTCATGCTGATTTGATGGCCATTAAAGCATTTGAACCAGTCAAAAAAGTTTAAGTTGTATATCTTTTACCGTTTTTGCGGAAAGTCGCGTTAAAGTTGATGCCGTGGTTGATGGTACGGATATATAAATAAACATATTATATCGTCTCGCTTTATATATAGTAAGATGTTGCGGAGAGGTCAAATCAAACCACCAGCAGTTAGATGAGATAAACACTAAACAGTTCACTAAACCCGAGAGGTGTAACGAAATTTAACGATTAAAACTAACCATATCGAGAAAGTGAAACTGGAGGGGGATTATGACCCCTTTATTACAAAAATTGTTTTATCAAATAATTGTTTCAATAAAATAAATTACTGTTTTATACATAGGGGGGGGGGGGGGGGGGCAAGTGGATATTTGTAGATATTTGTAGATTAATGTAGAATGGATAATCCACGAAAAAAGTGGATGACATTCTACAAATTTATACATTTATCTCCAAAAATTCAGTAGAATTTCTGGGCACATATTTGAGATAACATTTTTTGTAGATAAATGTAGATATTTGTAGATTATTGTCAATGGATAATTCACGAAAATTCTACAAATTCTACAAATTTATACATTTATCTCCAAAAATTCAGTACAATTTCTGGGCACATATTTGAGATATACATTTTTTGTAGATAAATGTAGATATTTGTAGATTATTGTAATGGATAATTCACGAAAAAAGTGGATGACATTATCCAAATATCTACAAATATCCACTTGGCTCCCCCCCTACATATACCTCCTGTTACATCCTCAATAAATGTAATATATTTGTAATTAGTTTATATATTATTATACTGCACCCCTCCCCCCACAACCTCACTTTGTACAATAAAACAACTCACTAAGTTCAGTAGCACTGTTGACGACGATGGAGACAGTAGCCAGCAGCTCGTTCACTATCTCCGGGTTACCGTCAATACTGCACGCCATCACCGCCTCCCCTACGTAGCACAGCTGGGTGGAGTGGAGCGGGATCTTGTTCTTACAGCACGTGTCTACTACTGTTCGTACTAGCTGGAGGGTGTTAAGGTGGGAGGTGTTAGGGTGGGAGGTGTTAGGGTGGGAGGTGTTAGGGTGGGGGTGTTAGGGTGGGAGGTGTTAGGGTGGGAGGTGTTAGGGTGGGAGGTGTTAGGGTGGGAGGTGTTAGGGTGGGAGGTGTTAAGGTGGGAGGTGTTAGGGTGGGAGGTGTTAGGGTGGGAGGTGTTAAGGTGGGTGGTGTTAGGGTGGGAGGTGTTAAGGTGGGAGGTGTTAGGGTGGGAGTTGTTAGGGTGGGAGGTGTTAGGGTGGGAGGTGTTAGGATGGGAGGTCTTAGGGTGGGAGGTTTTAGGGTGGGAGGTGTTAAAATGGGAGGTGTTAGGGCGGAGTTGTTGAGGTGGAGTTGTGAGACGTTTGGATATTTTCGAAATTAGTTTTTCAAAAGCAATCCATTTGTGTATAAACCCCGGAAGCTTCAATGAAATTTAGAAAAAAAAACCCCACCTCTCAGACCCACACGCTCACAGATACAAAACTAACACTAACCTTGAGGAGAGATGACTTGAGTTCATTACAAGGGGTATGTAGCAGCCCTACCAACAGATCCTGAGCATCTTGCGAGGCTAGACATCTTGCTAGAGGCAAACTTGTGGGCGGAACTTCTACTAGCACTGTTATCAGCTCTATAGCTTCTAGTTTCTGAAGGAGTTACTCTTATCAGATAATCATTTATCTTATCCCTGATCTTTACTCACTATATATCTTATCTTTATTATAAACTCTATTATCTGAAATTTATAGAAAAAACGTCATTTTGCCATTCTTGTTTGTGGTCTTTCAGATGAATTGATGAAAGCAGCTGTGCTGATAAATTTGAATAATTGATGGTTTTTGTTTGGGAGAGTAAGGAACCGGAAAATAGCGACACACAAATTAGCCGCACCCTGCCACCCATTGGAGCATCCATTTCGGCTGCTAATTTTGTAAAATAAGCTTCGCTCCCAAATCACAACGTGAGGAATAATCTCAAGTGTGATAAAACGCCCAACTCGTCACTATCACGCCATCTACACGCCTCTTGCACCTCTATCAATTAACTGACGGCAGCTACAATCTAATTATAGCACCACATTGCCACGGAACACCAATAACCCAATTAAAACCGGCAAATCCTGGTGTAGTGCCATTATAAAGAACAAACTGAATTTGATAGCGGAAAGTTCATTTAACGGCTTTAAGCTGAGGATGTGTATTGAGTGATGTCTTCAGCAGAGCATATTGTCCGTACATCAGCTCAGGTCAGTATTTGTACTTGTGATGTGACAGGAAAGCTTTTACTATTGACACATATCATAAATGACGTCATACTATGAACTTAAAACTAAATGTTTATGCTAAACGAGCATTACTTCAGCAAGTAGACAATACGGTCATTTGATATATTAAAGGATGGTTTATGGTTTAAGGTTGTAAGTAGACGTTTAATTTTATCCGGAAATGTTAAGATTTGTTAACGCCTCTTCCTCAGGTCACAGCAAGCCTAGAATTCAAAGTTACTAAAGTTAATGGATATTTACTTCATCGTACTTTTAAAGAAAATGATAATACAATCCCCAAATATTTGGCAGATTAGAAATTTGGCAGATTAGAAATTTGGCAGAATAATTTGGCCGATCATTATTTGAAACACGGATCATGGTTGGTTTGAGAGGAATTGGGAATATATACTCTATCTTTAGCTTTAATAAGATGTCATATTACAGGACAAGATAGAATAGATGGAGTATAAAAGAGCGAGAAGTGCCTGACGACTACCTTCTCATTAAATATTCTTATGGGTAGAAGATGGAACCAGAAGATCACGTTGACAGTCTGAAAATGAAAACTGTCAGTGTCAGTCAAGTGGACATTTTCACAGAAGTGAATATGAAATTTGAGACTGATATTGAGAACAACAACACCAATTATATTATGTTCAAGTTTTTTAAAATTACAGTTTAGGTGAATTATATTGGAAGATTTTACACATAGATAGGTATTTTTCAGTAAAAACTGTGATCCAAGGTTTGATAAACAATTTAAATACTAATCTGTTTGTCTAGTCTAATAGAGAAAAAATTTTGCTGAGCAAATTGAACAGTTATGATATTATTTCGAAGCTCGTAAGCTCGTGACGATAAGAACATTTACTCCAATATAAAACGTAGGTTTCTAAATTTGTCACTCTTAAACTTTTAAAAAGTTGAGAAATTAACCTGCTTTGATCAGCGCTAAAACACCTAACAACCCCTTTATTCCCTAATTACTACCGTCGCGTGCTATGTTAATGAATATTTCATCACAAAAATTATAACCCAGTATTTCACAGACAAGCATTTTATAATCTTTTGTTTCTTGAATTTAAGGTCTTTTACCCGGTACTCAAACCAAACATACAACAACAATTAATTTTTGGAGACAAGAATATGTTTTCCATTGTTAAATCGTGTTTCCCTTGCTTATTGAATATTGATCTTTCCTTCTAGGTATCCAAGTATCCCGAACAGGGCTAGGGCTAGGGTTAGGGTTAGCCCTAACCCCAACCCTAACCCTAACCCTAACACACCTGTTCGCGAACACATGACGGGCTACTTGGATACTGCCGAAAATTGTGCAAACAGTCTGCATATATACTACTACATGTGTTCCTTCTAAAGCCGTCCAGATTAGCAAATTGGATTAGAAGTGTCAGCGGTAAGGGTAAGTGGCCGCCTGAAAAACGAGTGTTTTTAAACACTTTTTTGACGTAGGCTGAGTCTGCGTTTCATGGGTGAATGGTGCTGTGTCTATACGTTCGCGTAAATGACGGAATTGCTTTGTCGCAGAAAAAGGTCTCCTTTTAGGGACACGGTTTATTTTGCCGTCATCTTTTGTCATGCTTTATGTCATCTAGGTGTGCCTGTCATTTATATTTAGTTGTGGGAAACAACCTCGTCAATAGTTGAATAAATTAAGGAACCGCCCTATGTGACCGTGGAACATCCACCGGCCTTTATAAGGCTAATCTAATTTCTCACGGTATACGGGATCCATTTTAAATTAAGGATTTATTCAGTTGTTCGTGAAGTCGTTCATTAAGTTGTTCATAGGTTGGGATTCATTCTGGAGTCAATTAAACGACCACTTGTGAAAATAAATCTTTGTAAATATTATTATAAAGTAGGAAACCTGCTGTGACACTAAGTGTGGGTAATAAGCCCGGCAAAAGTTCGGTAATAAGCCCGGCAAAAGTTCGGTAATAGCTTTAAAAACGTTCGTGGAGTTCAGCACCTTTTAAAAGTTCGCGGAGTGCGTTTTTCTCAACTATGAATTAAACGACCAGCTGTTGAAAAGTAACGGATCTACACTCTGAAGGAACACTTACCACAGTTACCATGGTTACCAGTCATGTTTTATCGTACATACTTGTTGTATACTTAGGTTTGTTTACTTTTACTGTGTATTTTCTCTGTGAACCTGTGTATTTGCTTGTTCTGCCAACTGATATACTAGTGTTACTCTTTATCTATTGGCTATACTTACTTGCTTTGATACTTTGATGAGGTTTAGCCAGAAGGTCAGCACATGGTACATAGACCACCCTACTGGAGGTTCCAGTCTATAACAGAGTAGCTGTAGACAACAGTGCAGCCTGCTGTTGTCAGGAACTTGGTCGAGGAACAGTCTTAAAGCTGACTCGAATAGTGGGAGATCTTCGATAGTGTTGACAGGTTTTGGCTGATACGTTTGAAGTGCAGTAAGGCCATTTGATGACTTTCCAAGAATGATTTTTCCCATGCTGATGTTTCTTTGCATCACTAATTTATTGTGGTAATAAGTTTTCACAGTTTTACTTATTGAAACTTTAGAGGTGAAGAGCTACAATTAAATTAATTTCTTGTTGACACAAGAAGATGTTTTCTATGGTTAAAATGTGTTTTTCTTGCTTATTGATATTTCTTGCATGATAACTGCCAAATCAGACTATTGTAATTAATAATTGAAACTTTTGTTATATAATACGACGTCAAATTTGATTCTTGAGTAGACGCTCTTGTCTCTTAAATCGAAACTTTGCGATACAGTAGCCCTGAAATTTCGAAACACTCAAGCTCCGATACTTGAGTAGACGTTTTTGTCATTTGAAGCGAAAATTCGAAATATTTTTGCTCTGAACATGCGTTAAAAACAGAATTTACGTCAATGTCGATTATGATACTTTATCGTAATTCTGTAATTGCAACCGGCAAACATGTATCAAAAAGATCCGTCAGTGTCAATTTTCATAGGTATTTGTACTGTGAAATACAAGCCGTAACTCACAGCCTGTCAATATTGGAGGGTTATGAATGTCTGCAGCTTTAATATGCTACATTTATTCTTCTGCCACATTTCAGTTTAAACGCTGCATATTTGATACATTTAATTTTAAACGCTACATATTTTATCAGCCCAGCCTTAAATGCTCCTTCAATACTTATTGACTTTCAGAGAGCGTTAGGAATTTAGGTTTAACACCCCCACAATTATTTTAGGTCGACATAGTTGAATTCTTGTTGCTGACTGATGATTGAAGCTAACTTTTGTCTCGATATCCGTATCTTTGCTATTTTGTATCGTAGAGACATTGCAACGCCTACTAGCAGGGATCACTATTTAGGAGGAAACGGGTCCGTATATCTACTCTTTAGACGTTTTATAGGGCTTTTTAGAAAGGCTTTAAGTTTATGTAATGACTCCACAGAGAATTCCAGCCCACTCAGTAATACTGAGTCAGTATGAATATGATGTGAAATGAGCAGTGTTGCTAATAACAGTAACTGGTAAGCAAGCTTAAAAACGAAGCACAATCTAGAGTAATACACTTTATTACTCTAGCTTATGCTTCATTTTTATGTTAATGATCAGGTTACGCTTTCTTCGGAATAGTCTACAATTATGTTACATGATTTCGAAATTTATTTGTTGTTCGTTTAACTATCTATGATAAGTAAGATTTCGATGTTATCCTAAAAGTTCGTTGTACCGCAAGAGGTACTTCTTAACTACAGGAGTAAATTTTACCAAAACCCATAATCATGGGTAGAGTGGACCACAACAGTGTCCCTCTCCCTCTCCCAAACAAAAGGAAATGATATTAATTTGAATAACCGTCCGCAAATGTAAATTGATACCGAGAATGAAATCGGTCGCTCGCTTTTCCCATTCATTCACGGCTTACGAATTGTAATAAAGTTTCAATTAATTATATCCATGACATGCTGTAAAATCTCTTTGGGTTGCTTTCGGGTCGATACCTAGTATTTCGGGATAAGGGTGGTAGTTAGTGTCCAATTAGCTGTTGTTTATTGAATCTTTGTTGCCGAATACAGCTGCCTTCGGGTAGTTCTTCTTAATCTATTACAATTGTTAATGAATGGGAAAAGCGAGCGACCGATTTCATTCTCGGTATGAATTTGCATTTGCGGACGGTTATTCAAATTAATATCATTTCCTTTTGTTTGGGAGAGAGAGACACTATTGCGGTCCACTCTACCCATGATTATGGGTTTTGGTCAAATATCATCTCTTTTTGATTATCATGTCAGGATAATTTAGAAATCCGAAATGTAAACTCATAACTTCATTAATAAGGAGGTAATTTCAACGATTTCGAAACTTTACCTTTGAAAACATTTCATTGTGTTTAGGTAGGCATATCTATCGATAACTGACTGAATATGGCACTTTTTACTCATTCAAGTTGGCATTAAATTCATATATAATGCCATATAAATGTCGTGGGAAAGCACAATTGATTCGAAATCACGAATGAGCAAAATTCTCACCTTTCGCACGTGCAAACTTTGAGCGGACGTTGCGTGCGCATACAATATTGAATCACCATAAATTTTTGTATTTCAAAAAGAACTAGGATCACAACGGAACTCCAAAGTTGATAAAAATCGTGAAAATAGCAATTTTCAGTGATTTTAGCAATTTTCTATCAATTTGGGCGTGTCCTCACGTGTGCAACTTTTCGATTTTCAACTTAAAAACTGGCCTATTACAAAATTTAGACCTTTAGGAAGCAAAATTGAGCTCCACAACCCAAGAGAAGGCCCAACACCAGAGAATACTAATTCACAGCTTTTGTGTTTTTATAAAATTATTCTTCAAAAAAGCACTAACTTTAATAGCGAATATCTTTATGATGGAGCAAGATAGGAAAATTTTGCGATAGCTTTTCAGAATGCTTGAACAATTATCTAATCTAAATATGTCCTCAGATTTTGAATAAAATTACTCCTTAATGGTGTAAAATCGATTTGAAAAGTTATTATTTTGTCAAAAATCAAGTTTTAAAAACGGTTAACTTGATGACGTCATCAAGTGGTGATGATGACGTTAAATTATTTTGTATTATAAAGTAAACTGAAGTGTAAACGATTACTGTATCTTTTAATTTTATACTTTTCGATCTACGGACACTTGAATGTAGACTACAATTTACTGCAAAAGCGTCTATACATATATATATATATAGCTTCACGACAATCTGTTGTAAAACAGGGGTTCCAGAAAACCCACTTCCTGATACCCCTGAAACTTGAAAATGTGTTTACAGTCGATTTGGTCAACGGCTAGACGCCCTGCAAAGTTTCAGATCTCTAACTCAATTTTAACATATTATTTAAGACACTAAATATGGCGATTTTGGGTTTTTTTACCGAGTTTCGTATAACAGTACTGGCGCGTATTTTGCGCAAATTTCTTAAAAACCTCCACATAACTATTTCTTATTCCTGACATCTTTGACATTCAATTAGAATGTTTTGAACTTAAAATATGCCTGCTGAACTACTTTCGGTGAGTCTTAATGCCTGAAAACTGTAAAGGGGGTATAATAGTATAGGGGGTAAATAGTATAGTGAGTGTAATGTTGACGGTTATGCTTGCCAGCAGTCAGCACTGTGATTAAAGGTCTGATTTACTGGAATATTTTTCTTAGAAATTCCGGTAAATTTGCTGCAGGTTAGTTGGGCAGACAGAATAATGCACAATTATTTTGTCTTACAATTACATATCAGGAATGTTTTATATAATTTGCAATATTGATAATCTTTAATCGTTGGAGTTTTTTATATATTTTTGAAATTACTGATATTCGTTAATTGAATTCTTTGAATTTGTTTGAACTATTTAGTAATTATCTATTTAGTAATAATCAAGGTCTGACTTTCAATGTCACGATATAACCCTGAACCGGAAAATTTGTTTTATCGTAAGGGCATAAAAATCCCGGTTAGTTAGGATAAATCTGAACCGCATTCAGAATAACATGACTTTACTCTCTAATTTAAATTACCATTTGAATTATGCAGAAACTTCCTTCTATCTATCTTTACAAGCATGGTATTAGCTGAACGAATGACCAGGCCACATTACCACAAAGCAGGTACTCGTCAAAAGCCTGATTTCCTCGTATCGAGTTGCGTAAAATTGCAACAATAACTGGCAGCCAATTAGCATAAATATGTCCATTTTATAGCTGCATACCCTCCACCTTGTTGTCTGCCAGTATACCATTAACATACCATCTGAACACATCTTTCCATTCTACAAACAACTCTCTGCCGTCGTCTGCCCTTTGGATCTACATCAATGATAAGCCTTAATACCAGACAGAAATGAGATCTCCCAGGCGGTGCTAAGTGGTACCGAGTAACGGACACTAAATTTAAAAGAAACCGCAGTACGTTTACCAAGCCGGAATACCCGGGGAAGTTTCTCTGACATACATAAATTAAATGAATTGAACGTTTGATTACCAGGGCATGGGTGGTAAGTATCGCCTAACTATTATATGCTTTGAATATTTCAGGAACATTTTTCTGACAATTTAGTAATTTGCACCCACTTTCGCGTACCTGTGCTTGATCCCCCGTACTGGCTGTATTTATGTATATTTCATGTGATATTTTATGGGCTGAGGTTAGTACTCATTTCTGATGCACTGGCCGATAATTCTTGAGCTCCTTTTATTGTTAAAGTTATAAGCCTCGCCCGTGCCCCGAGTAGTTTGTGTAACTTGATTACGAGGGACTTTTAATGGGCATTTTATATTGAAACTTTTAATACCGTTACCCACGTGACTGTAGGCCAGCCAACCGAAATTGATATTTTTCAGGGGGAGCAACACATGTTTACAATATCTCGTCTTAACTATCTGTTAATTTGGTATTGTTAAACCACAATGATATCACTCATGAAATTTTACCGTGACAAGTTGATATTGACAACGTAACCGTTAGTTTCACTTGTTACATGGTTTATATTTTGTCTCTTTCTCAACCCCCATATGTTTGTAACAGATGCTCCTCATATACCTGCTCCTTCTCCACGGTGTCTCCTCCGCACCCCTCCCAGAGTTTAACCTACAGAGTGGTGGTAGAGGTGTTCAGAGGGAGATTCCCACTTTTGATGGGGTCGACTGGACCCGTTCTAAACGTGGAGGTTTGTTGGGGAAGAGGGGTAACTATAATGCTGAATTGTGTTGTGTGAAAGTATTGAAGGCTCCCCCCACCCCCCCCCCCCGTTCACGTTTTTGAAAAGGTTTTGAAACGTTTTGTACTTGCAGTTCAGTTCTTCTTAGCGCCACAGCCTAGTCAGACAAATCATTATACCCTTAATAATAATGATAATTGAATAAATTATTTATCGCTTCAAGAAAACCTGACCTTGCTTCACAAACGTCAATCTCTGGTCACTTTTTCATTACCCGAATTAATCTCGAAAGATTCATTATGAGAAGGGTACATAAAAAAGTCGCGACTTCCTCTTTCTAGTTAATACCCGTGTTTAATCTCCGACCCTTTTCAGTTTGTTACGATAAGGGGAGTGAAAAGAACGTTGCTATGGGACATCAGTTTTATCTAGACTGTGGGAGATGTACTTGTGATAGGTAGGTACTACAGTTAACAGTATAACAGTAAAACAGTGTGGGAAATGTAGGTACCGTACCACATAACGTACTAGGTACCGTGTGTACCACACAGTTTGTTACATAGTGAGTGTGCCGGGTCTGTACCGTGCAACACATTTTACTACAGTAAAACATCCAACTCCGGGTTTAGAACTGCAAGTCCGGGTTTAGAACTACAAGTCCGGGTTTAGAACTACTAATACTCCCACACCATTTTATCCCGGACAACCAGGCTCCAATATTTTGCCCTATTTTCAAAACAGAAGAATCTAATTGCCGGCCCAAATAAGTTTTGGAAAATTCAAATCGCTTCGTACGGACGTTTTAAAGTAACCGGGATTGAAGTTTACACTAATCGTGTCTCTAATGATAGTAGTAGAGTAGTAAACCACAAATTGGGATATAGATATGAAACTGGATAAAACGGCTTAATTAATTCCATTGTTGAGATTAACGTTATTTTCCCAATTCTGGGAAACGTTGTCCAACGTTATTTTCCCAATTCCAATCCTCCAAGACTCTTCAAAGATTCTTGAGCTGTAATGACTGTATCCAATATGACAAAGAAATTTCAGCGGGCATACGATTTGTCACTTTTTCTGGAGCTTATAAATATGACTATAAAAGGGGACAGTTTAAGGCAAAGTGCATTTGTAGGAGACAATAGTCACATCAATAGTGACCTTAACCAATGAATCCCTTAATTTAATCGTATTTTGGTGATTGTTAAAAATTAGTAGAAGTCTTCTAGAGAAGGTACTAGACTAGAACTAATGCAATGCTACGTGTAAAGGTGTAGACTACAAAAGGAGACTATTAGACATTAGACGACTACTCTATAAAGGTGTAGACTACCAAATTACTGCTAAATGATCCATAACGGCCGGCTATCATATTCTTAAGTCACTTCAGATATAAATGACCCCATCTATAAAGGATTGATATAGCGATTCATCTTATTTTCACGGCACAATAACCGCTTCTCCAGTGAAGAAAAATCGCCACAATAAATATTTTAAAATCTCCTCTCTCTCTCAGATACGGTTTCTGGTGTATCCCCAAGTGTTCACCCTACTACAACCCGGACTTAGAGAACTGTGTGGAAATAGTTGACAGTCCTGACCCCTGTTGCCCTCGTCGGGAGTGCCTCCGTTACAAGGACCCCTCTAAGGGTCCCACCACCAACCCTTGGGGCAAAGGTCCGTAGAATATACTTACTCGGGTTAAATTCACAGGTTCAAGTTGTCTAAAGGTTTGAAAACTGTTGTTAAGAAAGTCTTGCTTTTTGTGGATTTTGATTGTGGAAAGCCGGGGAAGGACAATCTTAAACACAAATTTTAAACTTATCGTATATTACCTGACTTTGTGTGACATAGTTTCATATTTAAAAATCATAATGTATAACATTAAGGTCAAGATCTCAAATTATTAGGCTATCATTAACACAACCATCACAGGTACAATGACACAGGACGGTTTAGTAGGCGATCATTAACACAACCATCACAGGTACAATGACACAAGACGGTTTAGATAACCTAATGGTAAGAACAGCGTCCGCAGAGACGGAGAGCGTAACTATTACAGCTACTGTTACTTTAGATGAGGTTAGTTTATCCTAGAAAGGGGTTCTTCTTGGGAGGTTACTTCGTCGAACCCTTACATTACTTGTCGTGCTATTTTTTAATTCAATTGATTTGATAAAATGAATTAGATCAATTTTTCTGCCCTCTTTTTATCCATTCCAATTTTCACTCAATATTCGATTAAAAATACCGTCAAACAACTTCAGATCTTTACCCAAATAAATAAAGAGCTCCAGTCATAATTAATTCAGTCATAATTGATACTTTAATTCAGCTTTGCAATGCAGGACCAAGGAATTGTGTTCAGTTGTAAGTGGCCCGTCTCCTTTTTTTATCAGACATTACTCTGATTTATCATTTATCCGATACGGGTATCAATAGATGCAATGGGAGCTAAATTATCAGAGTAAAATGTATTTTTTATTGTATTGTCCTACTATATAATATGTACTACTTGAATGGAACCAAAGAAAGATTCAATACAACATCCATCTTCGGCATTTGTGTCACAGAATTTGTGGTTATCTTTCATGATGAAACTCCAAAATTTCTTGAAGAGATGACATAAGTCAATGCACCTTACTACGATTTTTTGATTTCTTAACTTCTTGGAGTCAACTGGATACATAGATTTTTTCTCTTTAAGCTTTCAGCACCTCAGTTCCGAAAAGTTTAGACCTGCCAAGATCCGAGTTATGCGAAGTAATTGTAACTTCGAATAGTTACTAATATGCATTTTGAGCCACCCCCGAATTCTTTAGGCTAATCGGTCTTTAAAGTTGAAGATAGAAAGTGATAGGACAAAAGTAGGAACACAACGTTTAAAAGTATATTCATCTGCAAGAATTATAATTAGAAACCCTCTCACAGGGCGAAGGAACGACGAATCCAGCAACTTCGCCAGAATCAACCACGCAATTTGGGGGAGCCTTCACCACGGGAAGTACCCAGAAAGTAGTTCCTAGAGCTCCTACAGAATCAGCTACTAAATCAGACCTTCCGTCCACTGAGCCACAGAGAGGGTCAGCAAGTTTATCAACTGAAGCAGGGACTGGGTCATCGAGTCCATCAACTGATACTCTGACTGAAATACTGACTCCAACTATTGCTGTAGTAACTGGTATGTGGACCCATTTTTAATTTAAAATTCGTTATTGTGTTGGGTAGGACGTCCTTTAAAATCATAGATAAAAAAGGCTGAAAGTTTAGTTTCTGATTTAGTAATATTGTATCTTCTAGAACCCTTAACTTGTTTCAGAAAATTCAGTGTCATCAAGCACATCCTCTGCGTCCACCCAGAGACTCACAACACCCAAGATTAAGAAGACAAGCTCAGAAAGTAGCAGAGCTCCTGTAATATCAACACCAGAACTCCAGTCTTCCTCCTCAGAGGTGAGTATTACATCTGACGGTACGACTCTGACAAGAAGTGGGACATCAGGTAGCACACCACCGACAGACAGCTCACAGGCAACTTACCAGGTGACTGTCACATACCTGATACCACCAATAAACTCCAAGATGACGACAATATTGACGACACATTTAACGACAAAATGACACTTATACTATAAAATCAGTTTGATAATTATCCACAAATAAACCCCGTTCTCCTCAGGGCAGGAGTTTGGGTTACATTACAGGAACCTCAGATAGCACTTCAGATAGCACTGTATCAGATGAGCCACGTCAGCTGCGGGACGACAGCTTATCCAGAGCCGTCACCAACTCTCTCTTTACAGTTACAGAGGGATCCGATCTCCCATCTCCAGAATCTGATCCCCCATCTCCAGAATCTGAATCTTACTCAGAGGGATCCTACTCAACTGGATCACCAGGACCTCAGTCTACCTCACCAAGTCAGAAACCTACTGAACAAGCACCCACTTCAACAAGGGCAGCTGTTAAAACAAGTGACTATCCCACCAGTTCTTCAAATCGGAACCCTTCTGAATCAACTAGTGGTTCAGGGGTGAATCCCCCAGATTCATCAACCGGTGCCAGCCAGAGTACCCAGAGTTCCCAACCCACAGGAACAACCGAATCAGCTGCTCCAATAACTAAGGACTCATTTTCGGAAATAAGTTTAAAAACGGAGGTCTTTTCAACAGAGACTGTGACCATGTCAACGTCTGAGGACAGTGGAATAAACTCCACTCCAGATTATTACTAAGTTACTAATACTAGGAAACCTATGAGACTGCGGTAGGGTCAAAATAAAAGTAGGGGCCAGTGCAAAATTAGAGAATGCTTTGTGTTGGGACAATGTTTCCGAGTTGCTGATCGGACGATAAGAGACCTGCAACTTCTGTGTAGATATAGGATGAAGTGCTAGTCATAGACTGCAAGCTAGGTGTGACGATTATCTAGTTCATTGAAATGACCAAGGCGTGGCCAAAAGATACTGATGTTACGAAACGAATGACCATGCCGAGTGAGCCAGCGACGCTTCTCCGTAGATCTGGGATTTTGCAACGATATGATAAACAAATGAGTAGTGCGATAATATCTGTTGGTCGTAGAATACATGTATTTGAAAACTTTATTGACTGATATTGTAAAGAATCTGAAACAAATCTGCTCAATTAGGCATTGAGATGTTAGATGTGTTATTGTTTTGTTTTTCGCTGACGCAAAGTTGTCTGATAAACTTCTTGAATTTTAAGTGAAACTATGCACACAGCATTTAAATTAGGTTACTTGCACTTGTGTAGGTCTGTAGAAGCATTAGAATCGGGTGTTGCCTGCCACAGGCTATCCCGAATTTAGAAGCTTGCTTTCATCATCATCATTGCCGATAGTTGAAAGTACTGCAAGGGTCGACCGAGGGCAGGATTTGCGACCGATGTCGAGGCCGAGGAAATTTTGCTTTGATAAAACTGAGGCCGAGGACAACCGAGGTTTCATTTTGTTGGCCGAGGCCGAGGAAAAATCGCTATTCCTCGGTCGACCCTTGGAAAGTAGACATCTAGCGCTAGATGACACTAGATGACGAATTTCAACCATCGGTAAAGAACCGTAAATCACAATATCGAGATATTCTATCTATATCCGACTTGCATCTTATCTACTCAGTGTTAAGATTAAGAGCTGTTCCAAGCAGAATAGCTGCTGCAGTATAATAAGACGGTACTTTCTCTGCATCAATCAACGTTTTACTATAGCCGTGACTGGCGGGTTATAAATGGACATTATAAGAAAGAAGTGGGAATATCAAAGTTTTAGTACCTGACCAATCGTTGATAACTACTAGTTAGATTGTAGTTATCTTGACGTATCTTACTGCACGAGGTACAAATTACATCATTACTATGCTCTCCCAGCGGCAATATCCTACAGAAGCCAAGCACGTGCAGACTCCTAGCCCTCTGAGTGGTGGAGACGAGCCCACGTGGGTATTATGCTGCTCAGTGATTGGTTGCCCGGTAATGGTTCCATTAGTAGTTGGTAGACAGCTCACTGCATGCTCTCGAATACAGTGCGTTATGGTATATACTTATATAGAAGGCAGATCGTTGTTAACTAGCTTGTGGCTTCCACACGCTCTATTCAGTTTCCTGTACGTTTTATGAATTGATCGATTAAGCTTTCTGCTAATTGATTATGCTTTTCATTCTCTTGACTAGGCGCGGTTGGTAAGGGAATTCATGTATCACAGTTTACCGGACTAAGTCTGTGTGTAAAATAAAATATAGAAGTATGTCAATCGATTTGCGAATGCTTGCTTGAATTGTACTCTAGTTTAAACCAAGAAAGCTGTCTAGAATATTCATATACAGTATTCTATGGTCGCCGACAATTGACAGAATATTCGGATAATTATCAAATGAAGCTATGCATGATTGGAAAGCTTAATCATGCATATTATGTTAATTAAAGGAATATGCTTGATAAATGAATTTAAAATGATACCATGTACTGGTCATGCTATCACGTACAATCTTATTAAATATATTAATACCGTTATTTTGATAAATTATCACAAAATTGTCATTCCGGAGTACGTATAACAGATTTGTACTGTTTCAAGTTGATTTTTTTGATAGCGCATCTTAATCTCTCATATTCGAGCTTTTCATTCAGAATTAGAACAATTCCTTCATATTATGGAGTCAGGGTGTGGACTGGCTACACCTGGTTAAAGCACTTCCATCCCATTACATAGTACTACTGAAATTAAATTATATTGTTAATTGGTAGACTTGAGGAGGTAAACACGTCACTCACTGGACGGTTTTGTTCGTCCACTGCAGTAACTCCCTTACATTTCTGTTGAAATACTTGTTTGTACTGCCGATTTGACCATTTTGCTATTCATCCCCATAACCACATGTCTTTAAAGTTATATGAATATTAGTGTAACCCGGGCCGTGCCTACGGCCGGGACTTCACTATCGCAGTTGAAATGCAAAAGCCGTTCGGAAATTACCCACAGACAGACAGACAGACAGAAACACACTCTTGAGATTATTACTATTGATGAGAAGATTTAAATAAAACCTGGTTAAAATCTGCCGTGAATCAGAGCAGCTAATTCTACAGAAAGAGTAAATGTAGTGAAATTGTTAATATCTAGGCATTATGCAGTTCGTATGTGACAGTGCACAGTGTTCGTGAGTGTAGTGATATTAGTGTTATGTACGCATGCCTCTTAGTGCACTTGTTGGTTTGCCTTGTTGGCTCTGCATTGTCTCCAGGTTTCATTATAGACAAGCTATTTTAGGGAGGCAATTACTGTACTTCCCATCCTTGGAAATCGACTTTATTATGAAGGAGTACCTATATACACTGGGCAGTTTAGTAATTATAGTGGAATCAGTCAGTGATGGCGGTTGTTTAATGTTTCCAGTATACAGTTTAGTAGAGCCAATTCTTTGGTTTAGTCGTCTACTCATTTAATAATTCATGAGATATCTCAGAATGGATGTGGGTAGAGTTGTGTAGAGTTGTGAAGAGCTGATATTCAGTTCGCTGCGTAGGAAATCATTCTGATTTTATTCTGTTACAATTTCAAATTGTTATAAGGTTGATAGATATGAAACTAGCTTGAGGAAGTGCAAAGCCCCTACTTCCAAGTCTCTCGATTGCTCAATCTTGAACCTGGATTGAATTTAACTAAGTACAGTAAAATCCCGATTCACCGCGGAGTTTGGGGGAAAAGAAATGACCGTGGTAAATAGGTGCGCAGAATATCGGGGTTTTATTATATTGATATAATTATGTCTAATTAATTAATTATGTCTAACCTGATCCAGATCTGGGGTAACTGCGATGAAAGCTAGAATAGACTTGACCTCCGTTACCTGGATACCATGTCTCATGTAAAACTTCACGAACCCTGAGTAGATAGTAACAGTTAGTGTTCCATATTAATATCCGATATTGCTTGACGAACAGTCGGATGTGCATAGAATGCGAGTGAAATTAGCAATTCAGCGATATTTCAACAGCTAAAGTTTTCGATAAATCTTTCTGAACATGTCCGACTTTTCTCTAATTTTTCCCACAAAAAAAAGGGTGATTCGCAAATTGAGGTGGCATCTTATTGGATAGAAAGAAACATTGGTAGTTATGAAGTAGTTATGGAGTCAGATTAGAGTTAACGAGTATTCCACTTTAATAATTATACTGAAAGTTCCACAGAATTTCCACTAACTGCATCTAGCAACAATTCACTGGATATGCAGCATTCATAACTGCAGTGCAATTATATAGTTGGCACGTGTGGTCGTTATGGAAATCCTTCCACCCCAGAACACTTTCATCAGCTCAACATTTCGATTACACATAAAGTTATAGATGCATAATTCTTAATATGTAACAGATTATATAACATACTCTAGTCAACTCACCAGATATGGCACCAAATATGGCACCAAATATGGCACCAAAGAATTATTTTAAAGACCCGTTAGAAATTTTAGATCTTTAGTTAACTGGATTATGAGAGGAGCCTTCTGGGCCTTGCTGACGCAGCAAAAATACTCGAATTTTAGCAATAACTCACCAAATATGGTAAAACTACTCACCAAACATGGTAAAATAACTCACCAAACATGGGAAAACAACTCACCAAACATGGTAAAATAACTAACCAAACATAGTAAAAAAACTCACCAAGCATGGTAAAATAACTCACCAAACATGGTAAAATAACTCACCAAATATGGTAAAATAGCTCACCAAATATTGGAAAATAACTCACCAAATATGGTAAAATAACTCACCAAATATGGTAAAATAACTCACCAAACATGGTAAAATAACTCACCAAATATGGTAAAATAGCTCACCAAATATGGTAAAACTACTCACCAAACATGGTAAAATATCTCACCAAACATGGTAAAATAAATCACCAAATATGGTAAAATAGCTCACCAAACATGGGAAAACAACTCACCAAACATGGTAAAATAACTAACCAAAAATAGTAAAAAAACTCACCAAACATGGTAAAATAACTCACCAAACATGGTAAAATAACTCACCAAATATGGTAAAATAGCTCACCAAATATTGGAAAATAACTCACCAAATATGGTAAAATAACTCACCAAATATGGTAAAATAACTCACCAAACATGGTAACATAACTCACCAAATATGGTAAAATAGCTCACCAAATATGGTAAAACTACTCACCAAACATGGTAAAATATCTCACCAAACATGGTAAAATAAATCACCAAATATGGTAACATAACTCACCAAATATGATAAAATAACTCACCAAATATGGTAAAACAACTCACCAAATATGGTAAAACAACTCACCAAACATGGGAAAACAACTCACCAAACATGGGAAAACAACTCACCAAACATGGTAAAAAAACTCACCAAATATGGTAAAATAACTCACCAAATATGGTAAAATAACTCACCAAATATGGTAAAATAACTCACCAAACATGGTAAAATAACTCACCAAATATGGTAAAATAGCTCACCAAATATGGTAAAACTACTCACCAAACATGGTAAAATATCTCACCAAACATGGTAAAATAAATCACCAAATATGGTAACATAACTCACCAAATATGATAAAATAACTCACCAAATATGGTAAAACAATTCACCAAATATGGTAAAACAACTCACCAAACATGGGAAAACAACTCACCAAACATGGGAAAACAACTCACCAAACATGGTAAAAAAACTCACCAAATATGGTAAAATAACTCACCAAATATGGTAAAATAACTCACCAAACATGGTAAAATAACTCACCAAATATGGTAAAATAACTCACCAAACATGGTAAAATAACTCACCAAATATGGTAAAATAACTCACCAAATATGGTAAAATAACTCACCAAACATGGTAAAATAACTCACCAAATATGGTAAAATAACTCACCAAATATGGTAAAATAACTCACGAAACATGGTAAAATAACTCACCAAATATGGTAAAATAACTCACCAAATATGGTAAAATAACTCACCAAATATGGTAAAATAACTCACCAAATATGGTAAAATAACTCACCAAACATGGTAAAATAACTCACCAAATATGGTAAAATAGCTCACCAAATATGGTAAAACTACTCACCAAACATGGTAAAATATCTCACCAAACATGGTAAAATAAATCACCAAATATGGTAACATAACTCACCAAATATGATAAAATAACTCACCAAATATGGTAAAACAACTCACCAAATATGGTAAAACAACTCACCAAACATGGGAAAACAACTCACCAAACATGGGAAAACAACTCACCAAACATGGTAAAATAACTCACCAAATATGGTAAAATAACTCACCAAATATGGTAAAATAACTCACCAAACATGGTAAAATAACTCACCAAATATGGTAAAATAACTCACCAAACATGGTAAAATAACTCACCAAATATGGTAAAATAACTCACCAAATATGGTAAAATAACTCACCAAACATGGTAAAATAACTCACCAAATATGGTAAAATAACTCACCAAACATGGTAAAATAACTCACCAAATATGGTAAAATAGCTCACCAAATATGGTAAAACTACTCACCAAACATGGTAAAATATCTCACCAAACATGGTAAAATAAATCACCAAATATGGTAACATAACTCACCAAATATGATAAAATAACTCACCAAATATGGTAAAACAACTCACCAAATATGGTAAAACAACTCACCAAACATGGGAAAACAACTCACCAAACATGGGGAAACAACTCACCAAACATGGTAAAAAAACTCACCAAATATGGTAAAATAACTCACCAAACATGGTAAAATAACTAACCAAACATGGTAAAATAACTCACCAAATATGGTAAAATAACTCACCAAACATGGTAAAATAACTCACCAAATATGGTAAAATAACTCACCAAATATGGTAAAATAACTCACCAAATATGGTAAAATAACTCACCAAACATGGTAAAATAACTCACCAAATATGGTAAAATAACTCACCAAACATGGTAAAATAACTCACCAAATATGATAAAATAACTCACCAAATATGGTAAAACAACTCACCAAATATGGTAAAACAACTCACCAAACATGGGAAAACAACTCACCAAACATGGGAAAACAACTCACCAAACATGGTAAAATAACTCACCAAATATGGTAAAATAACTCACCAAATATGGTAAAATAACTCACCAAACATGGTAAAATAACTCACCAAATATGGTAAAATAACTCACCAAACATGGTAAAATAACTCACCAAATATGGTAAAATAACTCACCAAATATGGTAAAATAACTCACCAAACATGGTAAAATAACTCACCAAATATGGTAAAATAACTCACCAAACATGGTAAAATAACTCACCAAATATGGTAAAATAGCTCACCAAATATGGTAAAACTACTCACCAAACATGGTAAAATATCTCACCAAACATGGTAAAATAAATCACCAAATATGGTAACATAACTCACCAAATATGATAAAATAACTCACCAAATATGGTAAAACAACTCACCAAATATGGTAAAACAACTCACCAAACATGGGAAAACAACTCACCAAACATGGGGAAACAACTCACCAAACATGGTAAAAAAACTCACCAAATATGGTAAAATAACTCACCAAACATGGTAAAATAACTAACCAAACATGGTAAAATAACTCACCAAATATGGTAAAATAACTCACCAAACATGGTAAAATAACTCACCAAATATGGTAAAATAACTCACCAAATATGGTAAAATAACTCACCAAATATGGTAAAATAACTCACCAAACATGGTAAAATAACTCACCAAATATGGTAAAATAACTCACCAAACATGGTAAAATAACTCACCAAATATGGTAAAATAACTCACCAAATATGGTAAAATAACTCACCAAACATGGTAAAATAACTCACCAAACATGGTAAAATAACTCACCAAATATGGTAAAATAACTCACCAAATATGGCACGTCTGAGGACACACGCAGTGTCAGGCTGCTCTATATTGCTAGAACAGTAGAGTCTAACAGCGTCCAACATGAACTGCACTCCGTACAGTCTGCGACACAGTTGTAGATTATCCTTTATTATCACGCTCAGATACTGGATGTGGGCTGAGGGGGGAGATTAATTAAATAATCAATTAATTAAAGGAGAAAGTTGTAGATTATCTTTTATTATCACGCTAAGATACCGAATGTGTGCTGAGGGGGAGAGGGTTTAATTAATGGTTGTGACAGGTGAGTTGGGACGCATTCCAGGCAGATTAGTAAAATTCCTCGGAAGGCAAGTACATTAGTCGAGTTGACGTAAACAATGACTGAATGTTGTCTAGATTTTTTATCGTAATTGACGCATGCTGATATTAGAGATTATTATCGGGTCCAGTTTATTCCCGAATATGACAGTATTATATCCTGCACGCACAGTTTTTAGGCAGAATATTTTACGAGAGCTTGGAGTGCCAGGCATTCTGTGGATTGTGCTTATCTCTTGTTAATTTGAGTAGACAGCTACCTCTATAATCAGCTCGCGCGTTTATTTCAAATAAATAGCGTATGTGACCGCTCATCACCGGCACCTCTCAGAACATTAAGAACTCTGAACGCGGTGGGTTTTGTAGTTGGTCAGTTACATTATTAGAATGTTGTAATTTTGTTGCACAGCATTATTCTACATTGACGTCATCGCACGTTACGTGTCCTAGGCCATATAATTATTATAATTATTATATTGTTGTAGTAATGTTGGTAATATTCACTCCTTTAGAGGTCATGACATGTTCTAGTAATATTCGATTTCAATGCTGCATAAGCGTGCAGACTGCATATTTAAAATAAAAAAGATAAAAGTTGGTTTAATCGGTTCATACGGACGCACTTGTTTCGTTGTAATTGCCCAGTCGCAGTTCTCTGTCTAACTTTAGTACGTGTCGAACTATACTACTACAGGTAGCGCACTTTAGTTCGACAGAGTCGAACTTTACATTTGGGGTTTGTCGAACTACAGTACGTGTCGAACTATTTTACGTGTTTTCGAAAACGCTGAGAAAATTGATTAAGGGGGGTTCACCCTGATTTTCTTGTGAAATTCGATATCGAGACAGCAATTGACCAGAAAACTAAGACCTGTGGCCGAACTTTTGGGGGGTTCCGGACTCCGGGTGCCCACCGGTGCCAAATTATGCCAAAATCATCCTAACATGCTCAAAGCCCGGCAAATTTCAGAATTTGGCCGCCAAATTTTGTTAAAGGCCCAACTCAAAATTCCACTCAAACACTTAAGGTCATCATGCAATTCTATGATGATTCTGAAAATTTCATGAAAAAATATTGAAACCCTATTGAGTTCTATTGTTTTGAGCGAAATCAGTTTCGCGAATATCGTGAACTGAGATATGGGCGATTTTGTTCACTTTTTACGATTATTTGAACACAGAATCCACACTCCACAGTTAGGTAGATATTGAGCTGATAGAAGATGTGTTGTTTATGTTAACCTTTTATTTAAAGTTGGTTTCATTGAAAATATTGATTTTTGTTTAATTTATGGGCCAAAGTCGATCAAATTTGGTGCGTATGCCCAAATATTAGCATATGGTTTTTGGCTCATAACTCAGTCATTTTTTGTCCAATCTTGATGGAACTTAATATACGAGTTCAGGGGAATCCGGGTTTTAAGCATGTTAAGATGATTTGGCATAATTTGGCATAATTTGGACCAAATATGGGCGTGGCTGTCCTGCTGGCACCCGGAGTCGTCTCTTAAATCTGAACCCGACTCTTTATTCCCTAATCCCTACCATCGTTTTGACTTCGACAAAATGGTACGGAAAATGTCCGTGGTGAGACATGATGACCGAAATACCAAAATAGAATTTTATATTATAAAGCATCGACTTACAGAATAATTATGCTCTTTTAGTTTTATGTAAAATAATTATACCTTTTGATATCAACATCAAAGCCCTTCTTTGTGAGCACTTAGTCCAAGAAGAAAATGAGAGAAACTCGAATTTCTCCAAGAAAATATTTTACTTCAATGTTCGGCAGGTCATTTTCATTGCATTTCAGTCGCGCAAATAGCAACGTCGCTATTAGCAAAGAATATTTTGCCATACCTATCCATTACATTACCATTGTACTAAATTTGTTTCATCATGTTACATAGTTGAGGGGGCTTTACTCCAACGATTAGCTTTACCAGTATTCAAGTCTAGTTTTTACAAATATCGAAGGTTTCGTCGAACCAACCCCCCTCCCCACTACCCCGCCAATACAGGCTTTGCATGCCAACTTACCAATTCTCACTTCATGATCCACTTTTGACCACAGCTCAAAGTTGAACAAGATGTGCTGGTATATGTCGTGTAGAAGAGGAGAGTATGCTGAAAATATAATATTATCGTTAGACGTTAATTAATATTTTCAATTTCAATAGCGTTATGATGTAAGATATCTACCTTGGAATTGTAGTAGAACCATCGTTAGTTTATAAAAAAACTAACGATAATATTTTCAATAGCGTTAAGGTATAATAGTAGAACCGGAGAAATTTCCGATAAATCCCGACGCTGGAAAATAAACTCTATTTAAGTACAATGAATAGTTCATACAAGCAATACACTTCCCAATGATCACCTTCGTCACTAGAATTAGTTGGGTTGACATCGTAAGACAGAAGCAGACATAAAGATTGTAGGGCCTTCACCAATGTCATATTCAATTCATCTGGAGGTGTCTGAAAAAAATTAATGAAGGAGCAATTGGGGTTGCCGTTTTTGGTATAAATGGTCTACCGTTTCGTTTAATGTCATTACTACGAGATTTTATGAAAGTTTTTGATCGACTATTTTGATCGGCGAAGATGGTGGCAAACTGCAACGTCACGCCCGAGGTCGAGGTGGGTTTTTACTCTCATTTTCATTCAAATGTAACGTTTTGATAAATGTTTGTACATTTATGAGAAGTGCACTGATAACAGCAAATCCGTTGGTGCTTAGTAAAGATTCTTGATTCGTTGGACAGTCCCTTAACATCTCTTCAAGGAGGATTACGAATCTGGCAACTCTATTTTCGGTCTTCTCCACTGAAATTTAGTTATCAAAACATGGGAGATACTTCAGTCAAATTTTTCTTTAGCGAAAAATAAATTATAATCCATGAAATCGTCTTTAATCTTAGTCAGACTAATGTTTTGTCTTCTCAAAAATGGCTGAGAAAAAATGAATTACCATGTGATTCATCATTGTTGCTAATCTGTGCTTCTGGCTCATCTGAACACAATTATTGTTAGATCGTTACTATACAAGTTGGACGTTGGTGTTTACATTTACAATAACTAATTAGAAGTGTTGCAGCAGTCGATTTCTCCTAATTACTTCTAAAACTATTTGGCAGGCGTAAAATTTATAGGTGTTGATTTTTACAACACTATTGTAAACAAGCTACAGCTGTGCAATCTACACATTCTAAAGGTTAGGTATTGCAAGGATTTAGCTTTATCAATTATCAGTCATTAATATTATCAAGCCTTGCAACTCATTGGGAACTCATTATATGCATTTCTCCTGTTATTCAATGTACATACTATACTTTAATATCGATTTAAATTGCAGAAGATTGCGCTGATTTGTTGTGCTCGTAACTTTATCATAAATTTGACTAAGATTTAAGAATCTTACCTGGCAGGGACTGTATAGATCCGCTCTCTTGGACCACATCAAAACCAGCTGGGGAAGCGTGCCCTGAAGCTATTGCATCTTCTCCTAGCTCTTCCACTTTACCTGGTGTTATCACACATTAGGATATTTTGTGACGAGATTTAGAAATTCGGACCAGCAGATCTCGGGGCTCTGCCTGGCTTCAAGCTCATTATCGCCAGGCTTAAAACGCATTCGCTGATTTTTATATTTAAATGTTTTCCAGCATTGGTTACGTAAAGTTCGACAGTAATTGTCCTAAATTGATCTAGATGATATCTCTTGATCACATGTAAACCATATCCCTCGCTATGCTCCGCTTATTACTCAATCAGTTTAGCCTTGTGATCCTGCTAATTCCGCCGACTAGCTGTTCTCTGTGCAAAAGCATTATTCTGAGCTACAACATAATCCATATGTGACCAATACAAAGGAATATGTGTAGATAATATGTAATGTATGGTAATAACGCCAGTCAATGTCAGCGACCAATAACGTCGTCACCTCTATCATGCCATATAAGCGATTAGAGTAGTGCAGCTGCTGATTTATTCCCGTCTTCTACTTTTTATACTTGAACTCCGTTTGAATAAAGCGACACTTACATTTCTTTTTATTTGTTCATTTTACACTTTACAGTCCTATTTTATTTGAGGACAGTTAGTTGCAAAACTAGTGTATAAATGTAGATTATCTTGACATGTTTAATTTGTAAGACTTTAAAGTTAAGAGATGCACCATTTGTATGGTTTTATTAGTGATAGTCTACGTGTCTAGATTCAGATGGATTATAGTGGAGTATGTAATATGTTCCGTAACCGATCGCTTTAACACAATATTCCTGCATTTATAGGTCAATTATGTTAAAGCAACCTTAAGACATAAGCTATATAATTATGAGTTGGAAATTCTGCTCTTCAGGACGTGTAGAGTAACACTAATGTAGCGCCCGCGCTTTTGCATAAACCAAAATCTTAGCTGATACAGAGAGTCGCTTTTATAATTACAGCCACTTTTCTAGCTCTTACATACATTCATGGCGAGATTGCCATCCAAGAGGGCTAGTCTGCGTCCAAGGTGTCATCTTTAGTAAATATTCTTTGCTTATGATACATCAGAGAGCCAGATTACATCCCTTAAGATCTGCAGCCATGCCAGAGGCAGAATGTAAGTGCGGTGAATGTAGAATCGACCTATAAATACCGCACTTTTTTGCATTACTGGCCGTTTTTCTTCTATCCGATTTGTTTACTTCAACTTAGTTATATCGCTGTGTACAATGATATAAGATCGCAAATCTACATGTCCATAATTATGGTTAAGGTCAAACGTCTTTCACAGCGCACGAGTTTTTAACCTCAGACACCACCCTATATACTAAAGTATTGTAATTACTCTTAAAAATATGGAAAAACATATATATATATATATATTATATCGGTACAAAGCAAACTATGCAATTGTCAAACTATAAGTTTCATGTTTGAAAAGCAATCTTCAGTGACATAATTAACATAAAAATGGCAAACATAATACAACACAGTGCTCCTTTATCAAATTTTATAATTAACAATTAACAATTACTCAATACTACTAAACCTATATAAATAACTACAAATCCTAACAACTAATAAATACTAACTAAATATGTCTAACTAAGAATTTCCTAGAGTGCCTACATTTAGAAATAATTTCTGATCTTTTATTAATAATGCCTGGGGTTTTAAGTATGTATAGTTTCTCGTCTAAGCAGAGGCCACAATGCCCCGCTCCAGCCTTATATTTCTTCGATTTAGTAATAATCTTCCAGTCTATGCTATATTCAATCATCTTCTCCTTGAGGTCCCATATCAATTTTGATAACTCGGTACTCAGTCTGTGCTTAGAATTCTTAAAACTTTGTCGATGATTGTACCACCGTGTCTTAAAACTGTTTTCAGTCAATCCAATATAGGCCGTTTCCTTGTTAGATGCCGTTTTAACGGTTGCTTGGTATACTATGCATTTGGCCAGACATTGTCCTTTGAGGGGGCACTTCGAGGCGTCTCTGCAATTACACTCTTTTTCTGGAGCTTTTTTCTTTTCAGATTGTTTCTCTAGGACTGATTTGTTGTGCCCTTTGAGTATCCTTCCCAAACTGGGCATGCAGCAATAGCTTATTTTCACGGTATTCCTATTGATGATTTTATGTAACGGTAGGTTTTTCGGGAAATGCTTATCGATAAGAGCGAAGAACTTTCTTCCGATGTTGGTTGAAACGTTTGCACTGAATGGGGGATTGTACCATAGGATGTTCCTCTTCCGCGATCTCTTTCTCTTTTTAGGCGGTGGTGTTTTATAATCGATGGTGTGACTATATCCGCTATCTCTAATTGCCTTCTCATAATCGCTTTTGGCTTCATTTAGGCATGTCTTGTTGCTGGATATGCTTATCAATCGTGATTCTATCATTGAGGGTAAGTTCTTCAATATGATGGGAGGATGATTGGATTCTGCGTTAATGTACAATGGTGTGTCATTTGGTTTCCTATAAGGTCTGTATGACTTGTCTGTTAGGTCGAGCACGACATCTAAGAAATCAACCGAATGCTGACAGAGATCCACCGTTATTTTTAGGCCTTCTTTTTGGAATAGTGAGTGTAGTTGCTTCCTAATTTTATCAAGACGCTGGCCGTTGGTTTTATTAATTACTGCAAGTCCGTCATCCCGGTATAATCCTAGGTACTGCTGCGGAATGATCTTTTTTATTTTTTAGTAATGGGACCTCAAGGAGAAGATGATTGAATATAGCATAGACTGGAAGATTATTACTAAATCGAAGAAATATAAGGCTGGAGCGGGGCATTGTGGCCTCTGCTTAGACGAGAAACTATACATACTTAAAACCCCAGGCATTATTAATAAAAGATCAGAAATTATTTCTAAATGTAGGCACTCTAGAAAATTCTTAGTTAGACATATTTAGTTAGTATTTATTAGTTATTAGGATTTGTAGTTATTTATATAGGTTTAGTAGTATTGAGTAATTGTTAATTGTTAATTATAAAATTTGATAAAGGAGCACTGTGTTGTATTATGTTTGCCATTTTTTACATCAACTGTCTTTTTCTTTAAAAAGGCAATAGATGTATAGAAGTGAAAGGATTCGAGAATGGGTATAGTGGGTAGGTAGCTTTTTCGTGTCACGTGAGTCATGAATCGTGTCACAAAGGAAAACATGCATAACCCTCCGCATACGTTATTTTAATGCATATTCTCTGCGCGCAGAGCAGTTATGGTGTAGTCGCCATGGTTACCCTCCGTATACGTTTGTACGATTTGACGATTGATCGAATTACACTTTCGATTGCGCGGCGCCAATTGATTTAGATAACAAGCGATTTCCCGGATGTGTTAAGTAGCTCACGCTTTTCTTTACTTGATCATTGATCATGATGCAGAACAACATAGTAACTTCTCGTTTTGTTGTGAGTGCTTGATTTGTTATACGAAATGGACCATAAATGTTATTATGGGATGATAATTAATCACTCTACACTCGACTGTCACGTGACTTTTCAACCCGTTCTCTAGCTGGTCCTGAACGACTATTCGAAACCCTAACCCTCTTATCTGATCCCAACCCTAACGCTAACCCAATCCTTAACAAAAGCATATGCCGAAACCCTAACCCTAACAAGAAATTAGACTAACTTCCTTATGCGGTCATATCACGTGATCGAAACAGTTTTTCACCTATATCTCGTCAGGGGAGCATTTTAACCCTATGTCATGGGGGGTGATTCGGAATCAGCGTCCGAAAATACATCTATTGAAGTTGGTTTCAACTGTCGGGGGCCCTTTTAGAACAATCTCGAAGATCGACTGTAGAGTGATTTAGTACGCTCGGTTATTATGAGTTGCATTACATACTACGGATTTCACGACTTTTAACTGCATATCACCACACAGGCGCAGGCGCTAAGGTGTCCGGTCATTTAACTTTTTAAATTTGACTAATTGACAATGGCAACTCCTTCATTTTGTGTTCCGTAGCGCCCCAAGAATGGTGAATAAAGAACCATTATTTAATATTTTGACCAACATGAAACTATCGTTAATTTTAATTTTAAATTTTAAAAGGCATAGCAATCACTACGGTTGATGGAAATCTAGCGTCCGCTAACCGGCGCAATTCTTGTTATGTTAATTATGTCACTGAAGATTGCTTTTCAAACATGAAACTTATAGTTTGACAATTGCATAGTTTGCTTTGTACCGATATTTCATGCTCCTAGCTACAGCTAGTAGAGCCCTTTTTCTATAAGAGAAGAAAACCAGTTGTATATATATTATATATATATATATAGAACAATTTTCTTCCTAACATGATGTTACTGTTAGTAACATCTTTTCCTGAGAGTTCTTTGCTATTATCATCAGTTTGCGATAGATTTAAATTAAGTCACGTTAGTCACAATAGTCGATCATACACACCATGTGTTGGAATATTATGATGTAAAATTACAATATTCAATACTAAGTCCTCGATTATGCTCATGACCAGCTCAGTTAGCCCCAGTCATCCTGTCCATCTAATTGTAAAAACTTCAATGAGGACAATTCTATAATTGTGCATCTCGAATTGTCAGAAATTCGGAGTAAGAAAATATCCTTGTAAGTTATGTTGACTGAACAATTGTGTAATGCAACGGTTTATACTACGCTGTTATATAATGTATAATCCAACCTGAAGAAATTAACCTAAATGCTGCAAATTTGGCGACTTGTTCAGCTTAATAATTAATTGCGGTGTTTTTTGTCTCAAAATTTGCCGCACATAAAAACGTTTTAGTGTGGTATCGCACTAATTGTATATAATACCGCACCTACATGGTGCCTCTGCAGCCATACCCACCCTCTTCTGTCAAGCCCTCCGGAATATAAGTGCAGTGTACACTATAAATATTAATACAATGACACATACTCCAGTACTACCTACCCTGATTTATTCATGAATTTATGCTTCAAATACATTACACTTAATCGTATTCTTTCTCATACAAAGACTCTACAAGTGAATAAGCGAGAGTACTATCACATTTTGAGGATTCTCAGTCTGTAGTTTATAGGGTTGGTCTGGACTTACTGACCACTGAACGTTCCGAGCCTTGCTGTGTTCCTCTTCGGTACAATAGAACAGACTCTGGCCCACCGTAAAATGCCGAGGTACTTGTAACTCATATGATTGTGTTTGTTTTCCCATCAGTAATTACTGCACCGACTCAACATAATATTACACAATATGATGTAATACTAATACTCTATTATTTTGAAAAATATGAGTGGCCGAGAAATAGGTCAAAAGTGTAGTTAATTAGTTATATCTCTAATCCATAAATGTTAGCGAAGATTTGATGCTGGTGTGTTGAGATCGTGATTTTATTATTATATATTATCATTATTATCTTTAGGTGAATAGTTTACAATTTTAAACTCTATCACTAATTGCCAAATTTCATCCAGGAAATGGAAGTACAGATCCTGTCCCCCCGACTAGGAGAGACTAGGAAGGCGATCTTTCTGGAGTCTAACGGCTTATTGTACAAGCCCATCAGCGAGGACGTCGACAAAACACAGATCTCGGACTCCGACACGAAGCCGTGGTCTGGCCATTTGTTCTGTATGTTCGTGATGTTCGGGATTGCGTCTCTAACACCCTGGAATATGTTCATCACAGCAACTTCCTACTTCGAGTCCAAGTTCAACGGCTCCACTCCGGCCATCGAAGAAAACTTCCAGAACTATTTCCAAACCGGAGCAATATGCACGGACGTGTGTATCAGTTTCCTGACGGTACCCTTAGTTCGCTACATCAAGATCCCAAAACTGATTTATTTCTCAAACTCAGTCATGCTCAGCATGTTCGTGCTGACAGCGGTCTTGGCTAAAGTGGACTCCACGTTGTGGGCTAAAGACTTCTTCCTCCTGACGGAAGTATGTTTTTGTATGATGTGCGGTGGTGGGGCTATGTTTATCAGCACCATGTGGGCTGTCACCTCCTCTATGAACACTATCTACACTGAAGCGTTCCTGATCGGCATGACCTTGGCAGGGATAATCGCATCAGTGCTCAATATCGTCACTTTGTCTATCCCCGGGATAGACTTCGTGGAGGCAGGGTTCTGGTACTTTGTAGCAGCAGCTGTGATTCTGTTAGTGTCCCTGGTGTTATTCTCCCAGTTCCACTGCCATTACTACCAGGAGAGTTACAAGGAGGTGGACTCTAAGTCTCCAGTGTCACCAGACGTGGAGTCAACTGAGTCTAAGACGGAAAGGACCCCAATGTACCAGCTGATAAAGGACACCTTTACCCAGGGGTATTGTTGCTTCTCTGTCCTCTACGTCACCTTCATCATGTTTCCCGCAGTCCTGTCAACCCTCACGTCTACGGACGAGATCCCAGTTCAACCTGGGCAGTCCGGTATTTCCTGCCCGTGGTCTTGTTTCTGGTGTTCAACGTGGGAGATCTACTAGGACGTCTATTTGCACGCGTCGCGGAGTTTCCAGGACGACGTGTTATACCCTGGTATACCACTGCGCGGCTGCTCTTTGTTTTCCTGATGGTAATGTGTAACCTCCAACCCCGCTCTGAAGGTGTTCCGGTCTGGTTCCTGGATGATATCACACCGTCCATCTTGGTGTTGTTGTTCGCAGCAACCAGCGGTCAGATCCTAACTCTCTGTTTGAGGTACGCATCCGAGATCGGGAGTAGTAGTGCAGATAAGGCAACTATTGGCACTATTATGGGTGTCCATGGGGCACTTGGTAGAGTACTTGGCAGTCTCAGTACTTATATTGTGTTCCTGGCCATCAAATAGTTGTAATTTATTAAATCTTGAAGCATTTAAGAATTTTCGTTCTGCAACTTAAAAGTCCTGGTAAATGAAATAGCGCATGTCGATAAGTTTTGCGCGCAGTGAACGCTCAAGTAGTTTCTATTAATTGTTCATAAACATTTTTGATTTCGGATTTGTCTGAAGTTTGATGAAAATTTCCGTACTTTTAGTTCGCTGCACGTCGTAGGCGATTGTTAGGCGAAAGTAATTGTAGTGCGCCAATTTCGTATACCAGAACTTACAATTTTAGTGAAAATTCCAATTTTATCATACTTTTAAATGGCGTGGGTTTTTCTTCGATGGTTTAAATTCAAATTTTTGTTGTAAAATGTAATCATTGTTGTGTAATGTAATTAATGTACAGCTGGTTTTATGGTAATTTAAAATCCCAATTACTGCCTTTAATTTTATGCTCTATTTGACTATCAATCAATTTTAATTTTTACATTTTTTTTTTCAGTTGAGGAAACCACTTAACACAATAAAATCAACTGATCCACCAAGGATGAAATGTTCTTGTTGTTATCATATCTGAGTTAAAGTTAAAATTTGGCCGGGAATCAGGTAAAGGTATATTACAGAGTTAAGGTTACAATCTGATAATCGAGGGTATATATATATAGAGTTAGGGATGGGAACTGGAAGAACCAGAGATAGTTTAAGATACTGGGATAGAGTAAGAGCCTGGGCACTGAGATAGGGAAGAACAAGGGATATGAAAGAGCCATGAGGTATAAATATTTTACCTTGGGAACTGGTCACGAGTATATGATGATGGAAATGTGCATACTTTTCTTTGACGGATGTTACTCGTCTAAATTTCTTCGAAGTAGCGCGCGCTGCTTTCTTCTCGAAATATAATATAGTTATATGGCCCGATGGCAAGTGTTACGAAGAAGCGCGCGCCGGGCCAGACCATTAACAATGGTCAAACTTTTCTTTGACAGTCGTAGAGAATCTCCTACAACATTACAGAAAAAAGGTGTAGATCTGATCTGAGCGTTCTAGTCCGTATGAAAGTTGGAGGGTTCCACAAGATTTATGGTGTTCTTCTCCTTGGTACACTGACACATCTACATTATTGGCATTATCTTTACAAGTCTTGTAGTTGCTCATGGTCATCACACACCAATTGTAGTTGTAAAAGTCAGCGTTGTAGAAAACCTGATTGATCACAATTTTGTGGATGAACTCGACTTTTCCCGAACTCGACTATGAAGGGTAGAAATTGAGTGCTAGGCTTCCATCAACTACAATCTCTCGTTTAAATTATGTACTGTTCTGAGCGTAGCGCTTAACATAATCTTAAGTACCAAAATAGTTGGTATTACTATTATCACTACAAACAGAGCCTATACCCTCTGCGTTAGATAATTCATAATACATTCCCGCTAAAACTCTTTTTATTAATCCGTTACTCTTTTTATTTACAGTACAGTTATTAGATCCAATTCATGGATCTCAGCAATTCAACACTGACGCTCGAACTGGAGAACTATACAGTTATAAACTTTCTACTCAAATACACGTCTTGCTCTCTACATATCAAACTTTGTAAGTCAAAGGAGAGTAACCCTGAAAAGTGCGCTTACAGCCTGTAGATAACCTGGTATTTTCAGTGTCATTATGTTACAGATCTGCTACTGGTAGTCGTGTTAGTGTACCGATTAAATACAACTATAAAGATGTTTCCCCCGCGGCAGCCAGCACCCGGGTTGAGTGTGTAAATCCACCGTAAATACTTAAATATGTTAAATATGTTAAACATGTTAAATATGTTAAATATGTAGATTAAATCGCGATCCTTAAGAACCAACGGCAACTACAAATGATCTTCATAACGACAAAGTGGTTGACATGGCCCCGACCGGTGCCGCAGCCCTGTGATTTATTAATATGAGTACTATATCGTGTTCAAGTTAAAGATCGGAACAGGGAAGAAAACAATTGTATTATGATGATTTGATGGCGCACGGCGAGGAGGTTTTCCACAGCTGAGACCAACAAGATGACGATCTGGCCCCCAAATAATTGCTAGTAACTGATCTTTATCTAGTATCAGTTCATACAGGCGAGTAAGGTGTCGAGGTGAACGGGCTTCTTCAACGATTCGAAATATTTGTTGATAATTTTACTGTTATTCGTAATTGAGAAGTGAGAGAAAGTTGGTTTTGAAAGCACAAAGAACTTTATTGAAGTCCCATTGCAGATTGACAAAGGGAACAGCAAATATCACTGTAGGTGATGGGTGAGTAAAATTTCCATTCGTCGTTTCAATTGTACCCCAAGACTGCGTGCGCTTATGAGATTGCATCTTATATGGTGATGATAAATTGGGAACTTTATCATCACTCATATAATTTGTTGTCGTTAAGAAGTGATAAGTTTATAGTAGGCTACGTTATCTTTTACACCATGTTTTCCGTTCAGTCAGAATACGTTTCAGTAACCGAAAATAATCACGACAAAAATCAGTATAATGTCACGCGAAATACGGTATTTTTTGAAAGACATATCAAGACGGTTCAAGTTTATAAATTTTTAATTCTTTGGACCAATGATCTTACAATATTCGTAAACTCCTTTGAGAACTGTTCATAGCTGACACAACACGTGCGCCGACACAACACTGAACACGTGCGCCGTGCGGTGTAATACTTCGCCGCCACTATAATAAACTACAAAAATATGTAAACAATTCGAACTTTTCTCCATCACTGCATTGGGGTTTACCGTTATGTTAACAGCAATACAGTCGAGAAATTAACTTAGATAATAATTTAGCTGATTGAAAAAAATAAGGTAGCTTTCTAACCTTCGTGGATGCCAACAGAGGAATCACTGGTGTAATGGGACCGGAGGTAAACCGGTTTAAGTTGTGAGTGTAGAGAGGAGTTAGCAGGTTCAGGAACCGGTCCTATACTCTCCAGAAGAGGAAATATCAGCTGCACTCCACCCACACATGCCAGGATATCCTGAGAGAGTGTCGGTTGAGTGTCTTACTAAGACGTACTGTAGATTGTGCAGACGGCGTACACCACCCCACCTTAAATTAGTACGTGGTTGCAAGGCGGAGCCTGCGCCGTTTGTTTCGGCCTCGTGTGACGAGTGCTTGTCCATCAAGGACACCATTACAGCATTACTCAATTACTGATGATTCATTGACATTTTACAGTCTCCGAAAGGAAGTACGAAGGCTGATTAACTTTGAGTGTTGTTTCAGCGACTGCTTCCTCGGTGGGCCGGCATGATTTGTTTTTAGCAGTGTTGAAAACCGAAGCAATTAATCAATTTATTTCTATAGAAATAGTTGTGTAAACGTACATCAACATGCAAATAATAACTTGCTAGCACATGTTAATGATAATTATTATTAAAATTGATATAATTTCTGTCTTAATACAATTACAAAGTACATGTCACATAATTAAGTGGTTGAAAGAAGGTCGAGCTCTAGACGACTACGTAGAACCGCGTACTGTTCCAAGCTCGAGCAGCGCCGCTGCTTCAAATTGTTTCTTGAGAAAAATTGTTGTTTTCTTGATGTTCGCGGAGTCGCGTGCTCGATCACGAGCGTGCGGTTTTGTTTGTTATGTAGGTTTTGTTATGTAGGTTTACAACCTACCAGGACGCGCGCCGAGTTCGACTCGTCGACGGTCCTGATAATTGGAACAAATATTCTACTAGGTGGTGCACCATAAAAATAAACTTGCTCGGATTTTAAAAATTTTTGTACCATTGTTTTCTAGAGACTGTGAGAATTTTCACAATACAAAATTTGTCATACCTTTTTGGAAAGATCAGTGAGTTTCGCCTAGATGCCATAATTGATGGTGCGCGGCTTTTGGAGCAAAATTAGCTGTAAAAGTCGCGTAATTTGACCAAATTTGACCAAATTCGTTGATTTTTGTCGTATTATTTGGATATATCTTCAGTTCCTTGAATGAGATCATTCTGAAAATTGGCGACGACCTTCCAATAGGGCTTTCACAACTGTCCGAAAAATTTGGTGGATATCGGAGTTGATATAGTGATGAAAATGGGGCGAAATACGTTGCTTTTAGCTGTAACATAATTTCTGATGGTTGAATATGCTTTAAACTTTTCGGACACTTTCCTTGTAAGTCTATGAGTAAGCTTACCAATTTTTGTTGCAATCAGAGGTCGGGAAGGATACTTAATATCTATTTGTTTGAAGAAAATTGTGCTGGCCGAAATTAGCGCTAAAAAACCATCCTACAGTCGGCACGCGCGGCTCACTGTCGATGGAGCACTACCTAATTCTACGAGTATCACCCGTTAAGGTTTTTTAACTTATTCATTATTAATAATAATATTGGCAATATGGCGGATTGGCGACGTTGACGGCCACACGCGCACGGCCTGCTCTTAGGGGTCATCTACTTAGGACGTCCGCCAAAATCGCAGATTTTCAGACCAACCCCTCCTGGCCTCCCCCTGTCCGGTTGTGTCCGAATTTTCAAAACCACCCCCCTCCCCCGGACGTCCGGATTTCCAGTTACTTTAAGTTTAAAGGGTACAAATAAAACCAACTCAAATTCATTGTTAATAAAATTCAAACAGTTGAAATAATTAATAAATGAGACTTTTTCGTTAATCCGCCAAAATTTCCAGACGTCCGGATTTTCAGAAACCACCCCCTCCCCTCCCCCTGTCCCGATTTTTCCGAAATTCCAAAACCACCCCCTCCCTATTTGCCGGACGCCCTAAGTAGATGGCCCCTTACGATCGAATTATTTTTCAAAATTATTAAGATCCTGAAAATTATTAAGCTCGGTAATTAATAAAGGTGACTTGTAGTTGTAAGGTGATGATTAAAACTGAACAGGCCCTACGCGCGGCGCTCACACCCGCATCTGGTGATTTTCAAATGACCAATGATCCATGTGGCTGCGTGTGCAGACTGCGGCGGGCTGTGTCATTGGTTGAACTTAGAATTTTGAATTATTTATAAGAATAATATAATATGTATTAATTGTACTATTATAAATAAAAGTTATGTTTTTCTATGGTTGTTATTGTTAAATTATGCGTATCCCCACAACTGAGTATTGATCATATTTGCCCATCTTATGATAATAAAATGGAGAAAATTGTCACCTTCCAGTTGTAAACTGACGTAATGGCTCACAATAAATTAAACTACTATTATTATTAAACAATATTCATCTCCCTAAAATTCTGGTCGTACATTGTAATAGCGGGGGTGGTAATATAAGATCCCGATTAACCACGCCCCGATAAACGGTAAACCCCGATTTTCTGAGGCCATTTCCTTCTCCCAAATGAAGATAACTATCATGGCTGCATTTTATACTAATATAATCCCAAAAAGTGCGTGGGTCTGAGCGTACGCGTTTATTTACGAACGGCTTAATAAAAAACGGTAATAGTTTATATGAGACTGTTTTTTTCGGTATAGTTTCGACAAAACTCTAACGAAGCCAATATGAATAAGCAAATTAAAAAATGGTAAGTGATTTAATTGATGGTTTTGTACCCAAAATGTGACTGCAGATCCAGTCTTAACCTTAAATTGGGCATAACTCACTAGTTGAAAAAGCTCTGATACGTCCGATTAGAACCTGTAAGACTGGCCTCCAGCTCGCCATTTTTGAGATTCAAGCAAATAGAAGATGTTCAAAGGGTGTAGAAGGTTCAGCTCGACAAAATACCGGTGGAAATTATTTCGTAGGCACTAAAATGACTCCTGCAGATCCAGTCTTGACCTTCAATAAGACATAACTCACTAGCTGAAGTAGCTCTGATACGTCCGATTAGAACCTGTAAGACTGGCCTCCAGCTCGCCATTTTTGAGATTCAAGCAAATAGAAGATTTTCAAAGGGTGTAGAAGGTTCAGCTCGAGAAAATACCTGTGGAAATTATTTCGTAGGCCCTATAAAAATGACTCCTGCAGATCCAACCTTAAATTGGACATAACTCACGAGGTAATCTGGCAGTCGAGCCAGGAGCTGCGAGATTGTCTATTAAGTATTACTTTTGGATACGTAAGAGGCGCTCTCAACTAAATTTACTCTATTATGCGGCCAGTTTCGACTGAGCGAATTTATATTTTTGCAATTCAACTGCGATAGTAAAGTCCCGGCTGTTGGCACGGGTTACACCAGTAACATACATAATGTGAACAATCAAAACCCCGATTCACGGCGAACCCCGATAGATCGCGGCTGTTTCTTGGCGTACAGTTAACGAACAGCCATTTGGCGCACAGTCCAGTTCCACACACAGATGACACGCATTTTACGTTTTACCATGCATATGTTACCTGCACATTAAACTTTTCCAAGAGCATGTGCTCTGTATGTAATAAGCCCTTTCTTCGATGACGTCACTCAAGAAAAACAACATTTCCAAGAAAATTGTAACGACAAATTCCTCGAACTTGGCGCACATCTCATCCCTAATCCCTAAAATTTAGAAGCCTGCCCGGCCTACCATCTTACTATACAGTATTTTAATCTACCTTAATGTTCCAGGTGCTGAGATTGTGTCCAGTGAGTCGGCCGTTTAACCGCTCTGCTGGTGTCTTGTTGGCTACCAGGTCTAGTACCACGTGCTCCTTTGACGCCTGTTTAAATGGATATCATATTTTTTCACCGGGTTAAACTTTTTATCAAAATAATTTAATAATTGTCGCCAGACGAGGCATAATTCCTGGGGACAATTCCTCCTATAAAAACAGTTAATTGTGATTTGGTTTTATTATTATGATCCTGGATGAGGGTCCCAATCGCCCGCGCATCAAACTGATTTGCCGACCTGAAGCAAACATTTCAAGAAAATAAAGCTCACTCTAAAGGGGTGTGACAATACCTTGGCGCTGTAGTAAAGTATAAGTTTGTCTGAGAGATCACAAAGAGTTTCCTTCCGGGGTCCAGAGTAATGGGGCTGGAACAGAGCCAAGTTGTTTAGTCCTGGAATGCAGCTGGGTTATTCAATCCCGGACAAATTATATAGAAATCAATCACTTAAATGTGATTTGCTTTCTCTAAACATTCCATGAAATAACGATAAATATTAGAGGAGGATCCAGAATATACAGGGTGAGTTGAAAATAGTGTGTGGAAAGTAAAAATCGATAATTTATTTAATGAAGGAGCAAATTTTGAAAGGTGAATTGCTATCAGTTCATAAACTTTACATATTTCATTCTTGCCTCTCATTTGATTCTAACTCATAATTTGGTTGATTTTAGGCAGTTTTCCAAAAAATCGTGCCGATTTTTCGACAACAACAAAAATGGGACTTTTTGTCTTCGTCTCAGATTTGACTGATTGATTGAGGAGCCTTAACCAGAGTCAGAACTCGACACTAAAATTGTATTAAAATTGTTATTCATTTACAAAAATCCATTGAAAGCCGAATGACACACAGAAAGACGTTGATATTAAAAACTGAAAATAAACTGAAGGCGTAGCGTGTTTTCAGTCCGGCGATTATAAATTAACACTGCTAACCCCGGTACTAACTATGGTTACCCTGGTTATCCCAGTCATTATGGTGACCTCGGTTACCCTGGTTATTATGATAACTACGGCGGTAAACCTACCAACAGTGTGAATATCGATGAGTTCCTGCGGACTAAGAGATTCCCAGAAGAGAGCCACAGGACCTAGCTGGCCGTGAAGTGAGGTGGGGATACCGTAGTGTTCGTCTTGTAGTCCGGGCGTTACCGTTACAACGTTCACATCCTGTGACGTGCAGTTATATTAGGCTGCGATGTAGACTATTCATTAAGCACCATCTGTGCCGGAATATAATCAAAGTTCTTAACCTTTTGGAGATGTCAGATAGGAGAAAAGGTAAAGAGGGCTCAACTTGGAATGGTATTACTATTACAATATGTATTTACTTTCAATGTATGAGTATCGTAACAATTGTATATAATCATGTAATAAGAACGCTCAACGCCGCGCTCCACGTGCAACTGCAAAGCACACTTTATCCACGTGTCAAGTACGTGATTGTATTCGCGCGCGTTCATTTCTATTTTGTTGCGTACACTTCGTGCTATCAAGTACTAGTATCTGTGTTTGACCGTTAAAATGGCAAACAGTGGTCAATGACAATGTTAAAAGCATCGCTAGACGCTTCGCGTGATGTGGTATCAGTTTAAAGTTTACCTGGAAGTCGACTAAGCAGTCGATCCTTGCAATATTACTCAATGACAGGTAAAATTTTGGTTCGTTAAACCATACATTTTCGACTAGGACCAGAGTTTCACGTAATTTTGATTTAGTTTTCCACCATTCAATGTCTTAAACTTGTTCTAATCCGTGTAATAACCTTCGGAAATTTTAGCAGAAAGCTTTATAACTCAGGTTTAATTGTAACGTGTTGCATCGAAAGTCAAATGGATGCGAAGACATCCCTAAAATATGTTTTGATGGTCAAAATTAAAATCCTATAAGAAGTTCTCAAGTAACATAGTAGATAAATTAAAAATGGTTTGGAAATGGTAATTTCCAAACCATTTTTAATTTATCTACTATCTAGCGGATTTCCACGACAGTAGTTTCATATTAAAAACGAACAGTGGCGCTCTACCCCGTGCTCCTGAGCATGACTGAACGTGAGGAGGTACGAATGAATTACATTTTACTAGTGAATATCATCGCAGATCATTAGAAATGGAGGAGATAAGGCTCACAGCAAATTCAATCAGTAAATTAAATTTTATGATCCTATCCAAATTATTATAATTTCGCTCCGTACAAGACAAGGCTTTCGCCCTTTATCACCGTTCAAACCCTCTTCACCGAAACCTTATCTGTATTATGTAAGATTTAATCGGGCCAAAAGTAGGAAATATACCATTTAACCAACGACTGGGGATTGTTGAAGTTTGGAAACAAGACAATCGCACTGTCTAGCTGCCCTGTAGATAATTAGATAATTAGTCATTAGTGCTCCATCAATTAGTCAGTGCTGAGATAGGAGTGGGTCTTCCGCTACCCCTAATGGGTATGAGCTGATAGTGGACTGATATTTCATTCATTCGCTGGCGAGTGCAGCGCGCGCGGAAACTTCACCCTCAAATAAACGTGATCAGAAAGAACCATGTCAATTGTCAATGGTTCTTTCTGCGGCCACTCTCAAACTTCATTTAGCAAAGGAATTTCTATCAACTGACCTCAATCAATTGTATTGTATAACTGCAAACGTTTTGGAATGGCTAGGCCCGATATGTGGATGCTCATGCCCCGGTAGATCTGAAATAGTGGTGGGGGGAGGGGAAGGGGAGGGGAGGGGAGGGGGAGGGGAGGGGAGGGGAGGGGGAGGGGGAGGGGGGGTCTGCTACACTTTTTCTGTTACACTTTTTTACAATACACTTTTGCCTTTTTTTTGTGTATGGTGTAGTAAAAAGTGTAGTAACAAAGGTTTTTTACACTAAACCAAATTACCTTCTAAAAATCTCCTTTTTTCCTATTATTTTCCAATCAGTCTTCACAGTACATTTCCAAAGGTAAAACTTACCTTTGGTGGGTTGGTGCGTTACATTTACAGTTTGTGATGTTGATGGTGTTAGGATTGATTTTTCCATATAGACACATTATAAGGGCCATATAATTATCATTATTGCCTTGAAGACCCTTGAATAGACGGTACTTCTTGACTCTTGAGTAATTTGCCATTCTATGCTCTACCCATTCTATGCTCTACAAGACAAATTAAAAAGGTAATACTAATAGATACTATTTAATTGTACGAGGGACAAGACAGCTATATTTTACTTTGAAGATTACATCCCCACGTGCGATATCTGAAGTTAAACATTCACGAGACCATTTCTCCAATTTAAACGTGAGGAATAAAAATAAAGTTGCGAACTGAACTGCGGCCCGGTAGACTACAGGACTACTTTTGGTTTCTAATTCACAATCTCCTCCGAATTAGAGCAACGTACGTTTTCTAGTTACCATGAAAAAAGGTCAGACTGTTTCTGCGGACTCTAGTTTAATCACCATCTATATTCCAGTATATTCTTTCATTGTACGGAAATTACCCCGGAAGAGAAGAGATACCTGGTACGTTCTGGACTTACCGCTTGTAGCAATAAATGAAATCAAGGACAAATGTTCAACTAATTTAAATTTAAGACCGCGACTAACTACCAAGTAGACGGAAAATCGTTAACTCCATGAAATTGCATTAAAATTGCTATGAACATGCGAACAATTTTAGCCGAAACTGAAAGTGGAAAATAGCTCAATTTGAGGATGGCCCTAAGTTTCCAGACTAAACCTGTTCACAGCCCTTTTTCTGGCCCTAAACGATTCCTGTCGTGAAAACCTTAAATCAGGGCCAAAAAATAAGGAATACTCAGGAACCCTCCTCCCGTACTGTAGTGCGAAACGTGTCTAGACTGAGTTCAGGAGTAGGAGGGTGGGAATGAGGCTTCGTATTCGTCACAGTAGTGTCGTTCATCAGATTGAGGCGTCCGGAGCAGGTCTTATCAGTGCATCTTCAGTAGGTCTTATCCAGGCAGTAGGTCTTATCCAGGCAGTAGCGGTATCCGTCGTGGATAACGTTTCTTGAACCAGAAGTACGTCCATGAATAAAGGTGGACATGTTGTTGGATGCTTCGGTAGAATCATCGTGACCTTATATATGGCCCAAGCATATGAACTTGTTATCCCAATCAGAGATATGTCTTCATACGATGCGTGTGATAGGAATTAGGATCATCTGCTGCCTACAACTGACTCAGTGGATCGCTTCGACATACGTGGCTTGAACCTACCCGACGAATCACTTAATTGTCCATAAGAAGGATAGGATCTGACCTGAACTTGGAAATATGACAGGATCTGGTGTCGCACTATACAGTACGATACCTGGACTGTAGTGCGACACGAACTTTAGTGCGAAAGAGGGAGGTCTTGTCGAACTTCAGGTTTGGCACTAAAGTACGTGTCGCACTACAATACGTTTACCACCCTCCTACATGTTTCGCTTTGAGAATAAGATGAATAGAGCTTGCTTGACACGTCTTTAGTTTATCACATCATCTGATCTTGGAAGCAATTTTATATTTCTTTTAAACTTGCCACTGCTTGCACTTCTTCGAAACTACATTTCTCTGAAATTTATAAAATTCCATCTATCGACTTTCGTGTGCTTCGATTTTTATTTTAAATAGACTCTGTTCTGCAGAAGTCTGGCCTATTTCTGCCGAACAATAAAATTCTCCAGAAAAGTAGAGTTATTTTTTCTTAGGCAAGTATATGAAGCCAGCCTAGCACCTAAGAAGAAAAACAAAAGCTTGCACACGAGACTGCGCTGCAAACCAATCAGAATAAAGATATATATATATAGTCACGTTTAAAAAGTTATGGTTAAATCACAGCGCCGCCCGCTCTTTCTCCGATACGGCAAGTAAAGTGCAGGTAACAAGTTAACAAGCACACAACTCGATCTGAAAAGAAGGCAAGTTTTTTGTGAGTTTATCACAGTTTATTTAGCACTGTGCTTGTGTTTGAACTAGCTGATCAAACGATCTCGAGCCACATGGTTGTTGGTTTAAAAGGGATTATCCTTCACAAAGGAATATAGCGACATCGTACGAGCAGAGTTTCTATTTTGTGTTGTTTCGCTAGACCTCCTCTTGTTTTATATAATCCTTCAGTTTAAGGTGGGACTTGTTAACTGATTATTAAGTTAAACAAGTTTATATAATTTAATACAGCGGAATGCCGAAACCGTGCAATGATATGATTATTTTGAATGGTTCCTGTTTGATCTGGTCGTTAGAAAGTGGCCGCATGTGATTTCCCGCCGGTAGTCAAAATAATGTCGAGTTATTAAAAAAAATCGATTATCCATTTTATAGTTATAGTTTGCATCCTTGCAGGTTTATTCTGCAGAGAAATATAATCGAGCTTATTTCGAGTTAACTGCTGCAGCCATAGTCTTGATAAGATGATATTTATTTCTTAATTTCTGGAGATGATTGAGAGAATTTGATCACACAAATATAATGAGGATTTATCTGATGGAACGTTTTGATAAGTCTCGTTTTAAAGTTGTTATCTTGTTACCTAGTTGGCATCCAAAACCACAGGATAACCGTCCCGAAATATGAAGTGGTTACATGACAACAAACTTTATTAGATTCTATCATGGATTATTTTAGTTTAAGTCGATATAATTAACAGTTATTTTCCAACTCAACCTCACCTTGTTAGCGGTTGTTTTGCTGGATATAAAGCTGCCGAACTCGGTCAGAATATTGCCACTCCCTCTTCTATCTTTACTGTTTGCTTGCCGTAATCCCGCTCCACCAATAGTGTTGGAGGTGAACGGCTGAAATGGGTGAAAGTGGTTAAGTTTATCTGATTAATCACTGCAGTTAAAACCGGGAATTTAATTAAACTAAGAAAGGGAGGGGTTGGGGGCGCCATCAACGTTTTGCCGCTGACTTAATGAAATTTTTGGATCGGTAGAATTGGTAGAATTAGAATATCCTACAATACCAATTTCCCGTTAGGTCATAGACATAAAATGGTGACAAAAAGGCGGGTCGACTGAAAGTTTTTTCGTTTCATTGTCTATAATTTATTGATAATGATGCTACACACAAGTTTCACTATAAATCACGATATCAGAATATGAAATAAACCCCATTTTTATTCAATTTTATTTAATTTTATTCAATAAAATACAATAAATATTACTCCCTAGGGGTGTTATACCCTTGTCACTCGCCCATTGTCACTCGCCCCCTCTTTAAACACTCGTCATATTCTCACTTATATAAACAGTTTACCGTTATTGTTATATTTTAACCGTTTTTCTCGTGCAATTCCTCAAATATCTAAGGACTGTCTCGGATATCTTCTCTCAACCCTCCTCATGCAGTTCATGAATAATGAGGTTTTAATTTTACATCTGTCCGCTATTTTATTACCAATATTTTTCCTACTGCATTAATGATAAAGTAAACTCGTTCGAAAAGAATTACCGGGGACAAGACTTGAACTTGCACACCTTGCGGCGTCCGATCTTAAATCGGATGCGTCTACCAATTCCGCCACCCCGGGGATGTTCTGGATACTATCTAGGTCTTTAAGTGCCCCAGTTGCATTGTAGAGAAGATAATGAGATTGTATCATTGTTTATCGTGTTAACAATGATATCTTGAGTTTATTATAAGGGGCATCATGACATCATTAAACGAGTTCCAAGATTCACGTCAACTGCAAACTTCCTTGAGTATCAAGGACATGAAACTGTCAAATGCTACAAATTTTGCTGAACCTGCTTCACTATTTTGATTGTTACTACCTATAAAACACCGTCAGTCCATGATTTATGAATAACTTAATATATAACTTAATTTTATATTAACAGGAAACGATGTAACAGAGCCAATACATTTTAATGTTGCCATGGGGTGGCAAGTCCCCGTACATCGTAGTCCCATAGTTTCACTGTGTCATAATATATAAGTTTTTAAGTTTAAAAATTAATAACAAGATGATAAATTGAACTTTAATTTCGTAAATCATAAAATAACAGTAAGATACGCCGAATACACCAGGTGCTAGGTGTAAATGATTACGATCGTCATTAGACTTTATCTATGTTTCTTGTTTTAATGTTAATTATGTTTCTTGTTTCAATGTTAATTATGTTCTTGGCAGTGGTTCACACTCTGTTGATATCTCTTTAATGAGACTTGATTGAGGCCTCTCAACTTCCCTAGTTAAGTGTGTCCCACAACGAAGCCCATTGCCTAGAAGTCCTGCATTATTATAATGCACCTGGACATATGTGGCAAGTATAAGCTCTTTAAACCAAAACCAAAACCTATTTATGTTCTTAATGTTTCTTGTTATTTTATCAGGACTGGTAAAATTTGTGTTGATATAAGCGGGATATAAATGCTCTATTTCATTTCATTTCATTTCATTGTTGTCATGACCTGGTCGAGGTTTTTGTCTACTTTCTTTGTTAGAATAAAATACATTCGTGCTGGAACTTGGCAGTGGTGTTGTGAAATAGAATTTTGAGGTCAGACTTTAGTCTAACTTGGCTAGAGTAACCGGAAAAAACGCATCGGTACCAGTCTACACGGCTCATCAAATCTCCCTAACAATTATTAGTTGTAATCCAATGAGCAATCAAATTGTGGTAGGTTTATAGTATCTTTCGGAAATTCCAAGGTTGAAATAATAACAAACAAATAACGCAATTTTTATTTAAACTTGTTTTTCGTGTTTAATTTGATCAATCTGTTAGTGCCATAATATAGGAGGTGTTTAAAAATTGAGGTGAAGGCCGAAAGTGTAGTAGCTGTTGTTACATTCAGAGGAAGATAACTTCCTGGTACATCCACAAACATTCCTTTAAAAAGTAACGGCTAGACTGACTGTGACATTTCAGAATACTTAAGATCAGCAATGAGACAGGTCAGGCCAGATTGCATCATTGTGTGTCACTGTCCTAAACCGTAACATTAATGATTATTACCTCATGGGTTGTAATTAGATTTCGGTAAAAAAATCATCGAAAAATTTCAATCCCATACTTCCGTGAAATTCTGACGATTATTATTAATCATGAATTTCTGACGATTATTATTATGTTATGATAAGACTCATCAAGTTATGGAAGTCTTCACTGATAGGGATTCAAAGTAGTCGCCAAATTCACTACAACCGGGCATAAAGTCGCTGATGACACGAAGTTACGAAGTATTTGGTCAACATAATATGAGGCTATTATAATTAAAGTGTTTTAATTAAAATTTGGTTATTAAAACGTTGTAAACAAAACTTGTGGGTCGACAAGTTCTTTTTTAGAAAATTTAAGCATTTTGCCATATATTATCCGGAATCTTGAGCACAGAAATACCTACTATACGATAGACTTAGAGAAATAATATGTTAGCTTTCTGGAGATATTCTCAGGGCAGGCAAGGCTATCATCAAGGGATGCTTCGCCTGTCCTGCCTCATTGCTGGCTATAAGTGGCTCCTGATTTTAACAGTCAAGCTGTCGCCTGGGACATCTTCAATTCCGAAGAAGATGTTACTCTCCAGTCTCAGATTCAACTTCAGAGCTCCGTTTTGCCGTCAGACTCGCCTCGAATAGAACGATAGCTTCATTTTAGCATTCGAGAAAGGGCATAATTTTCCATCTTAAAACATAGCGATTGATTTAATTGTTGCACTGATTTGTACCAGGAAACAGGACATTTTTCTTCGGAATAAAGTCTATTTTAATACGTTTACTGGACCGGAACAATAGAAAAGCCAAAAAAGCATGAAACCAAAAATTTGTGTTGATAAAAGTCAGTCCTTCTTCGTATAAATCGATTCGATTAAATATTTAATTTAACTCAAAATTATCAAATTACAGTCGAACCTCTGCATTTTGGGTAACTCTATAAGTCTATATACCGTGCCTCTCTAATCCAGGTACTTCGATATACCAGGCCTATTCTTTTTCCCCAAACTTTAAGTCGATCTACCCGTATTATTGGCTAATTCGTGTAAGAAATATTATTTTAACAGCCAAGCTGTCGCCTAGGATATCTTCAATTCCGAAGAAGGTGTTACTCTCCGGTCTCCAGGCCTATTAATCATACTCTTTTGTTGGAGCAAATAGACTGAAGAAAAATATTCATATGCATCTATAAGACATATTATCCATATTATAATTATGAGACATAAGACATATTCATTTAAACTCGAACCGGGGGGGGGGGGGGGGGGGGGGGGCCAATGGCATAAAATGGCATAAAATGGAGACTTTTTCTATGGAGAAAATGGAAAAACCCATGAGTAATTCTCCATTTTCTCCATTTTATGCCATGAATTTTGTCTTCGAAATTTCATCTTTAACACTATTTAACACCTAAATTGGACATCCTAACATGTTTATTTACGCTTACTAGGGGCGTAACAAGATTATGAAAGCTCATAGTAGGCTACTAGATGCTTATAGTTATACTAGGTTAGTAGAGGCACACTTCAGGCAAACTCATAATTACTCAAGACTAGTGTAAAGTTATTTCAACAGGCTACAGCAGGAGTGAGTAATAGGGGAGAGTAATAGGCACTGAGAAGTGAGACCTACATCCTCGAAAGTCGAAACAAGCTCGCACTGCAATGGGGAGGCCTGCCTTCCGAGATCGCATTACCAGTGGGAAGCCTCAAGTCCAAATTTGTGTATCGAGGGGTAGGTGCAGACTTCGATAAACCGAAAAACCAAAAAAATATTTTCGGCTAATAATGAAGAGGGTAGCATGAAACGTGGAGAAAAGTGGTTTTTAGAAAAACTTTGAAAAATTTTGACTTAGAAAATTTTCGGCCCGAGTCATTCTCGATACGTACCTCTCGTATCGAGAGCTCCCGATTCCGAGCTCGTGTTGCAAAGGGGAGGCCTGCCTTCCGAGATCGCATTTGCATTACCAGGGGGAAGCCTCGAGTCCAAAATTGTGTACCGAGGGGTAATTTTCTAAGTCAAAATTTTTTCTGAAAACCGCTTTTTTCCACGTTTCATGCTACCCTGTTCATTATAAGCCGAAAATATTTTTTCGGTCAAAATTTTTCAAATTTTTTCTGAAAACCGCTTTTTTTCCACGTTTCATGCTACCCTGTTCATTATTTGCCGAAAATATTTTTTCGGTTTTTTGAAGTCCACACCTTCCCCTCGATACACAATTTTGGACTCGAGGTAATGCGATCTCGGAAGGCAGGCCTCCCCTTTGCAACACGAGCTCGGAATCGGGAGCTTTCGATACGGGAGGTACGTATCGAAAATGACTCGGACCGAACATTTTCTAAGTCAACATTTTTCAAAATTTTTCAAAGTTTTTCTATAAACCACTTTTCTCCATGTTTCATGATACCCTGTTCATTATTGGCCGAAAATATCTTTTTTTTAAATAATTTTTCTCGAAATTCTAAATTTTTCAGGTTTTCAATGGCATAAAATGGCATAAAATGGCATAAAATGGAGACTATTTCTATGGAGAAAATGGAAAAACCCATGAGTAATTCTCCATTTTCTCCATTTATGCCATTGGCCCCCCCCCCCTCGAACCCTTCTGGTCTGAAACACTCTGCAGTCTGCATACTTCCTTTTCTCAACCCATCTTAAATCGCTTTGCCAGATCAGGCTACCATGGGATGATGACGAACCAAAGCCAATAAAAAAACTGCTTAATCAGATAAGACGATTTCACCCTGTTGTTCTTGTTTGTAATCATGAAATCCTATTTTGTGAGCTTCAGATGCAGACTTCCGCATTTCTCTTCTAATAGTTTATGAGCTCATCATTCTCCATCTATCGAAT